CTCTACCCGTAGCCTCAAGGTTCAGCCGATATAAGACATTATCAATTATTTCAAAATTGGATTCCTCCTTTTCCAGTTGAGCACGCCATTTTTCGGGCCAATCTTCCCGCTTCTTCTTATAAAATATAGGCCAATCTTGACAAGGATCAGTGAGCAGCGAAGTATCAGAAGGTTGTAACACTTTGTTCAAAATAGTGGTAGACATTTCATATAGGAATTCAGGTTCCATTGACACCGGATCAGGCTCACAATCAGGACCTTCACGACGACTCAAGGCATCCGGAACGACATTATCAACACCCTTCTTGTAGACCAAAGATGGCTGATACATTTCAAGATCTTGCATCCAGCGGACCAAACGAGGAGACACTTTACTTGACGACTTGTAATACTGCAGAGGACGATGATCCGTAAATACTTCATACCCAGACCCTTCCACAAAACAACGCCAAGTCTTGCATGCGAACAAGATAGCTAGCAATTCACGCTCTTGAGTTGGATAGTTCCTTTCAGCATCAGACAGCTTTTTCGATATAAAAGCAACAGGTTTCCAGGCATCATCACACTTTGGATCTTGTTGCAACAAGACAGCACCCACAGCATAATCACTAGCATCACACTCAATGCGGAACGGACGAGACATATCAGGCATTAGCAGCACAGGAGCAGAAGTAATCAGAGACTTGATGGTATCAAACGCCTTTTGACAATCATCTGACCAATCAATCTTGCGATTCTTAGGACCAACACCTTTAGTCAAATCAGTAATACAAGCAGCCACAGCAGCAAAGTTGGGCATGTACGTAGAGTAGTATTGGCAGAGACCCATAAATTTACGCACATCATGCACAGTCTTGGGCGCAGGCCACGAAGCAATAGCATCTACCTTCTTCTGAGACGGCTTGATGCCTTGACCAGCAACAATATCATGACCCAAAAAGGTGATTTCCTTGCGATTAAACTTGCACTTGGCTTTGGACACTACCAGACCAGCTTCCTGTAACTTCTTGAATACTAGATGTAGATGTTTCTTGTGTAGTTCAATGTCATCACCCTTTGTATAAATCAGACAGTCATCAATGTAGCAAATCACGAAATCATCAAGATATTCCTTCAGGACATCATTCATCAAATACATCCATCTTGCACCCGAATTTTTTAATCCCATCGCCATGACCGACCAAGAAAATTGACCATACCTGGTGTTGATCGCACTCTTGAGCGAATCAGAAGGAGTTAGTCTTTGCTGCCAGAAACTACTAGTCAGATCGATGGAGCTCATGAAGGTGACACCATGTAACTGTTCCAAACATTCATCAATACGAGGCAAAGGCACCCGTTGAGCCACCGTCTTGGCATTAAGAGCGCGATAATCGCAGACCATTCGCAATGAACCATTGGGTTTCTTGACAAAGAGTACAGGACTACCCCATTCCGACACACATGGTTCAATGAATCCTTTACTTAGTAAATCATCCAATTGTTGTCGCAATTCCTTCAATTCCAATGGAGACATCCTGTAAGGTGCCCGAGAAATAGGCTTGGTACCAGGCTCCAACTCAATCATTTCACCATCAGTACGACGAACCGGAGGCAACGTATCCAATGATCCCTTGAAAACATCAGGATAGGCTTCAGCAAACTCAGCACACCAGGCTTCATTCTCCTTGTCTTGATCCGTCAACACCACATCCACATTGTTCAAATCCAAAAGACCATGCAATTCCCTTGGGGAGACCAGAAAACACTCCTCCACTTGTTTCTTTCTCAACAACCTCTCAAATTGTCTTGCAGTAATCACAAAATTACAATCATCAACATCATCAATACCCTCAGATCCAACAGTAACATCACCGTCAACTCCTGCATCAACCCCAGAACCAATAAATTTACCCTTAGATCCCACAAAATTAACATCGGCATCAACCATATCTGTACCACGAGTAGAACCAATCTTATTAGTATCAGCATCACCAAACGTAGCATCCATAGCAGCGCCAGCATCACCAGATTCCAGAACCACCTCTTGATTGTGTAGTAGATTTTTGGGCTTCGTCTGCGTTTGAATTGGCATAATTAATGTAGAACCACCATTGGGAAGCTTAATTGACCATGAACTATGGAACCAATCAGGAATAGGTTGAACCTGACGCAGCCATGAGTTGCCCAAAATCAGATCAAATTTTGTATCAAATACATAAGCTTCCATATCATCCGTATAATCACTCAATTGTAAAGAGAAAGTGGCAATAGATGAGATAGCAGATTGATGGCCATTAGCAGTTTCCACGGCTTGACCTTTGACAGCTCTTGATTGTGTAACCACGGAGGACAGTTTCGGACTAATATAATTAGCAGAAGCACCAGAATCAATCAATACAGAGCACAAATGGCCATTCACCCAACCATTGTACAGGGGCAATTTTGTATCAATTTTACCAGCAGACATCACAAATTCCAGATCCTTCTTGATTAGAGTATCGTCAATTACCAGAGGTTCAACATACGACTTAGAGGTAGGTAAGACACAATACAAATAAGCAGAATAATCAAAGTCTTTATTGTCTTCAGAAGCACCATCAAAGCCATGATCAATGTTGCCAGCCTCGGCATAATTCAATTGCTGTCGAGGTTCAGAAGGACAATCCCTCATGTAATGACCGAAACCTTCACAGTTGTGACATTGTACATTAGCACGATCACCATTACGAGCACGGCCACCACGCCCACCACGATGCTGTTGGCCGCCACGACTACCCCGAGAGCCATTGTAACTTCCACGAGTATTGCCACGACCACCACGAAGGCCATTAAAATCCCTACGATTGCCGCCTCCAAAACCACCACGAGCGCCCATTGCAAAACCACCACGACCACTAGAGTTGTTCCAAGATTTCATGATGTTGTATAATTCACGGCGCTCCATCACCGACAAATCCATTGGATCATCCACCTGAAGATCCATAGTATCCACCGAAAAACCCCGAGAAATAGAGGAACTGGAATCTAAACGATTTCCTTCATAGTTATGAGCAGCACGGATGGCCTCAGTTAAAACAGGCTCTTCCATGTAAATGCTGTCCTTGATGTGAATTCGAGCGTTGGGATCTCGAAGGCCAGATAAAAACTTGTCAACTGCTTCTTCGTCTGTCATTCTTGGAATACTGAGTTTGATAGTCATGAATTCTTGAACATATTGAGCAATGGTAGACTTCTGTCGTAAGGCGCGCATGCGATCCCGAGCAACCGAGATAGCATTATCCGGTTTAAAAAATGCTCTTAATTCGGTCTTGAAGTGTAACCAATTAGTAGGCGCAGAATTTAGCAAACGCAGATTTTGATACCAAACTTTGGCAGCACCTGTCAAAAGAGTGATACCTAATTTGGCAATTTTATCATTATCAAACTTCTTGATATCCGCAAAGTCTTCGAGCGTCTGGATCCAAGATTCAATAATGAAGGGATCCCTTGAACCATTGTAACTTTTGGGCCGTTCCAAAAACTCGAAATCGTCTTCCTTGGATGTCTTGGCAAGGATTACCTCCTTCAAGATTTCAGCAAGCTTTATAATGTCACTACTATCACCAGTAGTACCTAATGGACTCCCATCTTGTTCAGTCATATTATTGTCGTTATTGTTATTGTCTAAGTTAATGTTGTCTAATCCAAACCACTTTTTTGCGATACTTGTAGCTAGTTGATTCCAATGTTCTTGTCTAGCTTTTGATGATTTGATTCTTTCTTCTTGAGTAAATTGACCCGGTCTTGTTTTTCTGAACTTGCTGTTATAAGCTTCGATATCACTTTCAAATTTTAGTATTTGAACGACTCTTTCTTCTATTTCAAATTGGTTCTTGAGTTTTTTGATTTCTTCCTCAGTCAAGCTATTCATTCACAAATAAATAGTTTCAAATAAATGATCAAATGGTTCTGCTGCTACCAAATGTCATTAATAGAGATACGGTTATTGAGTAGACCTTGGCAAATGTATATAAAAGAATAGAATTGAGATAAAAGATGATCTTTATTGTTTTGCAAACTGATTTGATATTTATACTAAATTAAAAGGTTACACACAAAGACTATGTGTACCTGACACTCATATAAGAATATGGATGTGCTCACATGGGAACATTTCGGATGTTCTCATAAGAACATCGGCCGACTTATAATAGATCTTTAGGAACGCCGATGTTCCCATATGAGAGCATTTTTCGCCTTTCGGGAACATCGATGTGCTCATTTGAGAACATCAAATAGATTCTCATATGAGTGCATCAATGTTCTCATGAGAACATCAGTTGGGCCGTAGTGGCACTTATAGGCAGCATGTTCAGGGCATTGTCAATGACATGTACACCATGAGGAGCAGCAGGCAGAGCATCCCACAGATCACGATCCAAAGCACGACATTGAGGGAAGTGATTTCGAGAGATGAAAGATCCATCCATGCAGGGACATTCCTCACGCATGTTTGCAAAACGACCAAGACGCCAACGAACCAAACGTCTACGAGCAGATCGACCAATAGGTAAGTAGAGTATGGGATCAGGGCGAGAGACAGAAGGACGGCACGCACGAAGCAGAACATGTTTACCAGTAGTAGCAGCAGCAGCCAGTTGTTGGTCCACCTGATCTTGCCAGAAGTCAGAGAAGTGAGCCTTGAGACCAGCAAATGAAGGGACAGGGTCAGGCAGAGATCTATACAAACTGTTTTCACAGATGTACCGATCCAGTCGAGTGTACGACAGAGCACCACGCAGAACCACCACAAGACTATCCTCAGGTAGAGTAGCAGAACGAAGAGCATACCTAGTTGCCAAGACATTATACCGATGTTTCATTGAAGGGAGACAGGTAATGTGCTTTACAACATTGAACCAGGAACCACCCACGATGTCGTTTACAATATATATGAACAGTATATATATATACAAAATTAGATGAGAAGATAAAGACCCCCTTTATTCAATTCAATCAAATCCCTGTTTATATCCTAGCTATATATTACGGCTGACGTCAGTCACTACCGTTAGCTTCTGCTTCTTTCTAAATTGTCTGCGGACCGGAATGGTTGGCTTAAACACTCGCCTCTTATTGGCGTTGTGTCGCAATACGGCTTCAGGTACCAACCCATCAAACATGTCAATGACATTATCCCCCTTTGAAACTGATGTTGGTCCCTCAACATCCTCTGAATCAGTTGCTAAAGGCCCCACAGTGTCTTCGTTCTGATGTATTGAATCATCTGTACCTCGAAATTTCTGCCATGAAAGTGGTTTCTTGGATTGTTTTTCCACAAAAGCAAATGGCGAAATTCTTTTCGGCGCTGAACCACTGGATCCCATCTTGTCGCCACCTTCAGTGGTGCTATTATCCTTCATCTTGTCTCCATGGCTATCAGTTCTTTCCATTTTGTCGTCATGACAGCTACTTGCACCAGCCTGACTACTAATATCTTGCATTTTGTATCCATGACGATTGATTTCTGGCTGGTTGCTATGACTACTGCTTGCTAATAAATCACCTTGCTGTGTTGCATCCTTCTTTGTCGACACCTTAGCATCAGCAGTTTCATCTTTTTCTTGTTGCTCCTTGTTAAGCACAAAGAATAAAAGGATTATTATTTGTAGCTTATAAAAAATGTTCAATATTATAAAAACAAGAAAAGACTTATTTGAATAAGATCAGACACAAAAACTAAAGATTTATTGATGAAGACAAGAGTTATTCTATTTATACTAAGTTCTGAATGCCAAAGTAGCAATTTATCTTGTACAACGCTTATCACATCTGGTGAACCTCAGTATTTAGATAGCTGAGATGCACTTCACTTATCATAGCTTGTCCATGTTGTTGCACAACACAGACATATCTACCCATCAAGAATACCTTAATCTTTATAGACAGTTGTAGCCCTTCTGGCACAACATTGCCCCCCCAGATTCAGGTACTTCTTGTGGACATTTCGTAATCCCAGATTACAAAACATCATGACAATATAGCACATAAAGCACTTTCCAATAAATAATTACCAAATGACACTGCATCCGAGATCAGTCAGTAAAAACCTTGTGTAAAAACCTTTCATAGGACAAAAATGTAAGGAAAAGACTTGATCCCATCATGCTAGTAGCCATTTAAGACCTGTTTGATCTACCACTCTGACCAATTTCGCGAGTAGTAGTAGTTCGCCAGTTAACTGTTTGAGGAGCTAACCTACGTTTACCAGCAGCCTTTGCACCTTCTCTTCGAGCCCAATACAGCTCAATGTGTTTGGCCGAATCAAAGTTTTTCACAGGCTCCCAAGTATCTTCACTAGGATCATCGAACCCTTTCCATTTTACCTTATACTCATAGTTACCAGGAGATCCTCTATGATCAATCACAGCTTGAATTTCGTAATGCTCTGCAGAGAATTCATCAATTGTGATTGGCTGAGGATTCGCAGCGACTTGGTACTTGATATGATGGGTAGGCACATCTCGACTAAGGAGTGCACCCGTCTTGTCAGCCAGCACATAGGAACCTTTATCGGTTATACTATGAATCAAATAAGGTCCTTCATACCGTTCATCTAACTTATTTTGACGATGAACATTTTTAATCATAACTTTACTACCAATAGGATAGGGTTCGGCAATGACCTTATGTTTCTTCGCAAAGTTAGCATGATCAGCATTTTGTGTATCCACAATACGCTTAGAAATAGCCGGGATAAGAACATCTTGTACAAAACGGTATCGTTTGTCAATGAGTCTGTTATCAGCTTTCTCCAAACGTTTGGAATAGTCCACCTTTGAGTAATCAGCCAGACCATTTGGTTGACGATTAAACAAAAGTGTATACGGACGAGATTTATGTAGCCGAGCATACTTGACATTGATGCAGTAATTCACCCACGGAATGAAGTGCTCCCATTGATCCCTCTTACCTTTTAACAACTTGATAGTCGTTAACTTACATATTTTGATAAATGACTCAGAAACCGAGTTACCCAATGGATTGTACCCTAATGACAGGCGATGGTCTATCCCACTGATGTCCATCATAGCACGGACCACCTCATTTATCCATTCCAGGCCTCTGTCTGAAGTCAACTTGATTGGCCATCCAAAAAGTGAGAAAACTTGAAGCATTTCCCTGGCAATTGTCGTAGCCTTCTTGTCTGGAATGCATCTTATCACAGTAAATCTCGTAAAGTAATCAGTAAGGACAAATAGAAAGTTGCTGCCGAAAGAGCTAGTAACACCCATATCACCGAGATCCATGCACCAATGATCCAAAGGTTGGGCTGCATTGACACTACGGAAAGGATGATATCCCTCTCTAGCGATATTGTACCTGTTACACTCGTCACAATCGGCTAATATTCTTTCTATGTCTTTCCGAATGTTCACCCAGTGAAACCCTTCATGATGAATTGCAGTTTCAACATGTTTGATCCCAAAATGTCCAACCAGATGCTGAGCAATGATCATATTGTCTCTTTCATTAGCAGGAGGAGTGATATAGTCAGCAAACCTAAGCGTACGCAATATGAATTCCTTTTGCTTTTGCGAGACAGCTGTGGTGGTGCCATCTTTGATAAGAGTAGCGTTTACCGCAGTGCGTGCATGGTTGCTAAAAGAATTAGATCGTAACGCCTTAGTTGTCTTGACCAAAGTACGTTTCATTGGAGGCGAAGGTGTGACAACCTTGAGTTTGTTTTTGGAACCCTTTTTCTTTCTCTTTACACTTTCACCACCATCAGCATAGTACCTGCCCCCCAGAAGATGTCGTGCTGAAGCATCAGCATCCGAATCTTCGTAAAGTCGAGATAAAGCATCAGGAATTACGTTAAGGACACCGGGCAAATGCACAATATCGAAAGTATAAGAAAAAATGGTCTCCCACCATCCAAGCATGAGTGCATTGGGGACTTCCTGTGTATTCAAGTAGATCAGACTCGTATGGTCCGTATGTAAGGTAAACTCTCGCATATACAGAAAACGATGAAACTTAACCAAGGCATAGCAAATCCCTAGCAATTCCCTTTTCGTAGTACTGTAGTTACGCTCAGAAACAGACAATTTACGAGATACGAGACCTACATATCGAATTTCATCGTTGACCACTTGATATAAAACCGCGCCAAGAGCAGTTAAACTAGCATCAGTAGCCAAGTGAAATCGAATCGAAAAATCAGGAGGTGACAGCACAAGTGCCATCGTAAGTGCATCCTTCAAGTCGGCAATCGCTTTTGTATGAGACTCATTCCAAACATCTGTTAGATCTTTGTACTGTTTCAAGCTATCAAGATCTCGAGTCAGACGAGAATAACATGGAATGGCAGCACGAAAGTACGACATTAAACCCAAGAAAGATGCCAATTGACGACCAGTGGTAATAGCCGGCCAATCTGCAATGTTGGTAAGTTTTCTACCGTCAGGCAGTAATTTACCATTAATAACACTCCATCCCAAGAGATAAATACTACGCTGAGCGAAGACGACTTTCTCAGGATTGAGCACCAAATTAGCATCGGTTAAACGACGAATTACCTCAGCAACCAACGCATAGTGATCTTGTAGGCTCCCATTACTACTGCATAAGATGTCATCTACATAGCAGGAAACCGAGTGATCACCATCAGTAGGAAACGAAGTAGAACTAGATCTTGTATTCAAATCAGAGAGCAGTGTTTGCAATGTGCGTACAACCACCGATCCGACATGGCGAATTCCATAAGCAGCCTTTTTATGGGTGTATTGGATATTCGTGAAGGGACAAGTAAATGAAACTTTATGAGCTTGCTCTGGATCCAAACCAAAACTAGTAAAGCAAGCATGGATATCGAGACAAGTATGAATCATTTTTGTACCAATGCTCTGATGGATATGAGAGATCAAAGGTAACTGTTGTTTGTCATCCACTTCCAAGATAGCATTCAACTTACGAACGTCACACACCACTCTAGGCTTAGACATTGTGTAATTACCATCAGCGTCCTTTTTCTTTACAACCAACAATGGATGATTGAAACGTGTATGACTAGCAGATCTTTCAACAACACCCTCATCAAGCCATATCTGAATTTGTTTGGCAACAGCATCACGATAAGCTTCAGGCAAAGGATATTGAGCTCGCCAAGCGACAGCACCTGGTTTAGTATCAAGCTTAATAATCGAATCCGGCAGATTACACTGAGTATTCTTCATATCAATGCGCGAATTCTCTTCTAATAACCCCTTTAGTGCAAGTAGAAACGGCTGTCTCTCTTCCTCACTACCAAAAGGATGTGCGTTTGGAGTAATACCATCATCAATAGGGTCTGGTACACGAGGACCTGATTGAAAGCCATGTTGACTCACCAAGCCCGTAAGACCAATGCCAAGCTTGGACAAAATATCCATACCAAGCAACACAGGTACGTTTTCCTCAGAATAGAATGGAAATACTTCAAACAAATGGTTTTTATTTGATTTATTGTAGCTAATGTGCAAACGTACCGCACCTATTCTAGGCACAGTCGTTACTTCATGAGCCATTTGAACAAAGCTCTCATCATCATCATTAGCCTCAAATCCAGCAAGAGAGGTTCCTCCTAAGAATTGAAAGAACTTGTCAGTGACGCACGAAAACGTAGCACCCGTATCCACTAAGCCAAAGCAAATGACATTTTGAACCACAATAGGAACACAAATAGCATTGGTGGTCATAGTAGGTGGAGCACTAAATCTAGCATCGAACTTACATTGCTGAGCAAATATATTTTGTAGCGTATCGTCGTCCACAGACATGCTACTCATCTCTTTTTCAAGAAGAATAGACTGGGCACGATTCACCAGGTCAGTATCCTCAAAGATACCATGAGCTTCACTCATCACAGCATCTTGGTCAACATCAACATTGTCACTACCACCAGAAGAAGGAGCAAGGACAACATCATCCACCGATTGTTCAGCAGAGGAGAGAGCAGGGGAAGAAGCACCTTTCTCAGCTAACGCACGATCAACACGAGCAGAGAGAAAAGCAGCTTGGATTGCAGCATCCATCGAATGTTTGCCACCACGTTTCTTAGTCATGGCACGCAAAACTTTTTTACCACCATTGCCCTGATGGGTGTTACCACCACCAGTACGAATAGCAGTGTTGCAGTGATGCATCTGCCCCTTTGGTCGAGGACCGTTACATTTGGAGCAAGTCCCTTCAGCAACATGTTCAGCAAATGTTTTGCCAAAACGATTAGCACCAGAACGTGGAGAGTTGGACGAGGGACCATTGGATCTCGACGAAGAGCTGCTTTGCAGAGCGTTTCCACTAGAAGAAGGTGCGTACCGAGACTTCTTTGCTTCGTTCGAAACAGGTATGTCAGCAGCGCGTTTTCTTCCATCAAAAACAGAGCCCAAAGATTCTTGACCCGTCTCAATAGCCATCATATCCATCTTGCGCACGAGAGAGGACACATAATCAATGTCATAAAATGACGATTCTGGTGCCTGACTCATAGCAACCATTAGCAACCTAGCGGTAACCTTGGGGAAAGCGTCAAAAAACACCATCGCTACGACACCCTTATCACTGATGTCAGCTCTATTTCTCAACGTCTTAAACCGCTCTACGAAACCATCAACGGATTCTTCGTTTCCTTTAGTACAACGAAGAAACTCCCTAATTCTTTCGAATCTGAGCTGTTCTTTTGGTGTACCAAAACGACCGATGATAGCTCCCTTCAAGGTAGCCCAAGACACAGTGGAGCCAGATGCTTTCACAAACTCATCAAGCCAATTGCGAAGATCGCCGGGAAGACAAGGAGGAAGTAAACGATACCAGTGTTCGTCAAGATCAAGCGTGCAACTGCTCAACTTATCGGAAAACCGGCGACAACACTCCTCAATGTTGGCAAAAACTTCCTTTTTTTCATCTTTGACACGTCCAAACCATTGGAACAAAGGAAGATCATCAGGTACAGTTGAACTATTAGCCGCACCTTGACTAACCACTGTTACTTGGGAAGGACTCTGGTTAGGTGTGACCATAGAGAGAGCTTTCTCTATAGCCTCCAAGTTAGAGCACTTCTTTGACAGGGCAGCCTTCAAAGCGTCGACCTCTTCGTCCGACTTGTACCCACTGTTCGCAACTTCAGCGATCAACCCATGAACCTCCTGACGAAGTCGCTCTACAGCTCCTCCGTATGAAAGCTCGCTTCCAACAGCTTGAACATCTGAACTCTTGTTCTGTTCTGCAGGAGACACAGTAAAATCATTCATAGTCATATTTTCGGTTTAAATTAGATAGGTAGGTTAAAATCTGGAAGATTCTGATTTACACGATCTTAAAAAATGTTAAGCACAAAGAATAAAAGGATTATTATTTGTAGCTTATAAAAAATGTTCAATATTATAAAAACAAGAAAAGACTTATTTGAATAAGATCAGACACAAAAACTAAAGATTTATTGATGAAGACAAGAGTTATTCTATTTATACTAAGTTCTGAATGCCAAAGTAGCAATTTATCTTGTACAACGCTTATCACATCTGGTGAACCTCAGTATTTAGATAGCTGAGATGCACTTCACTTATCATAGCTTGTCCATGTTGTTGCACAACACAGACATATCTACCCATCAAGAATACCTTAATCTTTATAGACAGTTGTAGCCCTTCTGGCACAACACTCCTCTTGCACTCTCTCTTTTTCTTTTGTTGTTGATGATACCTCGGCACTTCCAGCAGTGTGCAAAGAGATGTCGCCATCACTAATCACTGCCTCTTCCAACGCGACTTCATGCTGTTCATCGCTGGTGACATGTACTCTATCAATATTATCGTCCTCCAGTATATCAACATCGAATTCATCTGCTGAGGATATATCATCATATCCTTCTATCATATTCTTGATGATGGCTCGATCCTCCCTTTTTTGTTCCTTACTGGCTACATCTGACATTGCACTGTCGTACTCTTCTTCGTATGATGAAATATCGTCATACGCATCCACAACATGCCTCAACTCATTCTGGTCTTCCTCTATTATAGAGTTGCCATCGCTACCAACATCCGACATTTCTGCTTGTTCTTGTTGTTGAAGCTCCACATGATGGGTCACCACGATCTCAGGTAAGCTTTCTGTCATGTCGACAAATAGTGACACACCCTCTTGGCTGCCATACATGCTGCTAGATAGCTCAGGATCCTGTTCATTCGTAGTAGGGACACCAACATTTGATGTAGACGAGTCAGGCATTGAGGCTGTAATAGAGATAGGTGGAGGTGTGGCATCATTACTTCGACCCACATTGACGTAACCAGTTGTAGCAGGATAGCTACCACCCCCTCCTTTCCTACCAGAAGATAATGATGCTTTGGGCAATCTGCCACTACGAGACGATGTTGCTGCCTTGACCAATCGACGACTTGCTGTAGGATCATACCATGCTTCATCTGGCTTGTCACCTTTTGCCCTCTTGAGTCTGTCACGATGCACTAAGGACTCCAGCTTCTGTCCAGCCATTGTCTCCAATTGGTAAGTACCATATTCATCAAATGCTTGAGTAATGATATAGGGACCCTTGAAACGTGGCTCCAGTCCAAACTTGCCCTCATGTGTCAACAAAACCAGGTCGCCCACTTCATAGTCCACCATGCTCATGGCCTTGTCCCAACGCTCCTTGTCCTTATCCGACACCGCCTTCATTCTTGCTTGTGCAGCTGCTCTATGCTGACCCAGTGCTGCGAGTTCCCTTGCTGTAATGTCTGCCACTGTTCTTGGATCTTGCATGGACTCGTTAGAGATGAATGGAATAATGGCATCACCAGGTAAGCGAGGCTCTCTGCCATACACCAAAAAGAAGGGGCTATAGCCTGTAGTCGCATTTTTCCATACACGAGACGCCCAGACGGCAACATCCACATATTCATCCCATCGATGAAGAGCGCCTTGCACGTACTTGCGAAGCATATCCTTGACTGTACCATTGTAGCGCTCAACCTTGCTATTCGTGCGTGGATGGAATGCACTAGTCAGCTTGTGATGACTACCCAGTAGCTTGACATACTCTTGCACTAGTTCGCTGCAGAAATTTGCGCCTCGATCTGTAATAAACTCTACGGGGCAACCAAAACGAGTGACAATCTCCTTGTATATGAACTGCGCAACAGCCTCCTTGGTCGCTTCTGGCAAGGCACACGCAATTGGCCAGTTAGTGGTGGCATCCACAGCTGTAATCAACCAGCGATTACCGTTCCCAGTGTGTGGCAGTTCTCCAACAAAGTCTAGATGCCAACGCTCAAAGGCACCCACAGGTATTGGCAAAGGATGCATCTCGTCTTGATGCTTGGCCACCTTCTTGCTGTTGAGTTGACATGCTGGACAAGGGGCAATCTACTCTGTGATATCCGTTTTCATGCGTGGCCACCAGTAACGCTTTCCCATTAGATGCATCAAGTTTCTGACCGAAGCATGGCCAAAGCTCTCGTGGTACTTGGACACCAAATCTGCTCTTTGAGAAAAGGGAACAAAGGGAACCTCCAACGCTGGCTTGTCTGCCTCCTTGTGCTTGACGATACGGAACAAACGGCCATTCTTGATGGTAAAGTTGGGCTTCTCTCGCTTCAGCATAGCCTTGAGCTCCTTGGATTTTACCTTGTCATCCGTGCCAGCAGCATACAACAAAGGCCAGTCAGATTGCAACTCCTTGGGCAATTGACTCCATGACGCATACAGGTAAAGGGGCTCCAAAGATTCCTTGGCAGGTTGGGAGGCATCACCAATACGAGACAGAGCGTCCGCCACGACGTTCTCCTTGCCAGGCTTGTATATAATCTTGGGAGCAAACATCTCCAAATCGGCAATCCATCTGACCAGACGAGGCGTAGGCTTCTGTTGGGTGCGGAAATAAGTCAAAGGGTTGTGATCACAACACACCACATAGCCGCCAGGACAACCGTCAATGTAACAACGCCAGGTACGTAACGCGTGCACAATACCAATGAGCTCTCTTTCTTGTGCTGGTAACTTCTGCTCTGCTAAGGAAAGCTTTTTTGACTCGAATGCCACTGGATGCCATTGCTTGCTGTCCCCATCACCAGGCTGTAATAGCACACCGCCAACACCAAAGTCGCTGCTATCGGTCTCAATCCTGAAGGGCTTTGACATGTCAGGGACCATGAGCACAGGTGCAGAGATAAGTAATTGCTTCAGTTGCTGGAAGCTTGACTCACACGCATCCGTCCATTCGATCGCTCTCTTTTTTGGGCCAGAACCTTGTGTCAGATTCGTGAGTGGTGCTGCAATGTGAGCGAACGCCTTGATAAACCTTCTGTAATGCTGTGCAAGACCCATGAACTGGCGAACCTCCTGCACGTTCGACGGCGTTGGCCACTCTTGGACAGCCTTGACCTTCTGCGCAGAGGGTTGGATGCCATGCTGGCAAATCTCGAATCCCAGGAACACCAGTTTTTGCTGTGCAAAGCGACACTTGTCAATGTTGACGATCAATCCTGCCTCCTTGAATTTGTCCAGCACAATCTTGATATGCTTCTTGTGGGAGTCCAAAGTGGGACTAAAGATACATACATCGTCTAGGTAGCACAACGCGAACTTGTCAATGCACTCGTAGCCCAGCAGTTTGTTCATCCAAGCTTGAAAGGTAGGTGGGCTATTGCACAACCCCATTCCTAGTACGGACCATTCAAATTTACCATATCGAGTATTTATCGCTGTTTTGGGAATATCGGTGTCCTTAATACGGATTTGGTGGTAGCCGCTTTTGAGATCCAGGCAAGAAAAATAGGATGCACCCTTCAAACGATCCAAGCATTCGTCAATTCTAGGCAGTGGAAAGGTGTTACGCACTGTCACCTTGTTGAGAGCTCGGTAGTCAATACACATGCGCATAGAACCATCCTTTTTCTTGACAAATAGAACAGGCGAACCCCATGGCGACGTGCTAGGACGAATCATACCGGCAGCAAGCAGTTCCTTCAGCTGTCTCTTGAGCTCATCCAACTCCAAAGGACTCATCTTGTATGCCGGCTTGTTGATGGGTGCTGCGTCACCGGTGTCAATTACATGCTCCACCTCCTGTGTAGACGGTACACCAGACAGCTTGCTTTGGAAAACACCAGGATACTCTTGACTAAGCTGCTTTTTCCACTCAGTGTCCATGCTCATAGTAATTTGCACCTCCTTGTTGTGGTCCTCACAAACATGCAACAGATACACCTCTGCTTCCTTGTGTTTCAACAATCTGTCAACTTGTTTAGGGGTAATGAGATACTTGGCCACCATGTTTTCAACAGTTGTGTCATAAAAGGTAAGTGTATCGTTATCCCAGTTAAACTGAGGCTTGTGTTGTTTTAGCCAAGATCTACCCAGGATAATGTCAAACTTGGAATCATATACAAAGGACGATACAGGTACCTTGTAACCTTGAAGGTTGAGAACATAATCAAGTTTGTCTGTGATTTTGTGCACAGTGCCACCAGCTGTCTCCACTTCTCTGTCAACCTTAGACCAGATACCTTCGAGCTGTTGAGCAATGCTTGGCTTGATGTAGCATTCACTGGCACCACTATCCACCAACACTTTGACTGGAACATGACGATCACCGCCATGAGAGTAGGCAAAGCCGCCATACAAGGGTAAATCACAAGAAGAGGAGCTTGTGGCCGAGTTAAGTTGATCAAGGTGAGGGACATCACTGTCAAGCCTTGCTGACAAAGGCTCAACCATTTTGGCTGTTACTAATTGACACTTGGTTTTCTTATGACTCAATGAAGATCCCTTCACATAGTGTTCACAAGTGGTGTTCAATTTATTATCATCATTGTCATCATGAGCAGTGGGAGGAGGGCTATCATTACTATTGTCCATAGCATTCAATTGTCTCCTTGGCTTCTTGTAGAATTGCTTCTTCTTGCCCTTGGGTGAACCAGAACCACCGTTGTTGTAGCGATGAGTGTTATCCAGCTTGCGAATAGCCTCGATACGTTCACGGCAGTGTCTCTTGACATGACCAGGCTTGTTACAAAAGTAACATACAACAGTTGAGCTATTACCACGACCAGTCATTGCATCAAGATCCATGGGTTCAACACCACCTTGAGTACCACCACCACCACCAGTACCATACGAATAACCTTGTTGTTGAGCACCTCTTGTTACTACCATGCCACGATTACCACCAAAGGGGAAAGAAGAGGTGCCACTACTACCCAAATGAGGTCTTGTAGCTGCATAGTTCAATGCATGGGTAAAGTATGTTTGGATCTTTCTCTGTGCTGGTTGGTAATCACGCAGTTGAGCCTGGAGTTCCATGTCTTGTATGCCTTTTCTGAATTGATGGCACTGTTCCTCTTGTGTCATACCGGGAATGAGCATGATAATATCCATGAAGTTATCGCAATATTCTTGCATTGAGCCAGTTTGAACAAGAGAATCAAGAGCATCGCGTGCATCATCCACACTTCTAGCAGGCCTAAAGTTTTGAAGCAGCTCTGCTTTCAACGCAGTCCAGGTCTTGGGCGCATCATTTGGATGATACTCCTTGTACACACGCAACCATTCAGCAGCACGACCAGCCATTAGAGTACTTGCAAAGATGAAGGCCTTGTCATCACCCCAGCCATAGAAATCCTTGTGTGTCTCAATAGCAGAGCACCAGTTGTCAATAATGCGAACATCACGTTCACCAGAGTACTCATGGGGTTGCTTGAGCTTAACAGAGTTGCTGCTTTCACCCGTTATCTGCTTCACCGCCTGCACCACCATATCACATATTTCTTGAGGGGTGGACATTTGAGATTTTGCTTGTACCAGTGCTTTATTTTACAGTGCTTGAGAGAATACCAGTGCTTTGAGAGGGTACCGGTGCTTGAGATAATACCAGTGCTTTGATTTCAGTTCTTTTACGGATATAACAAATCCTTCCTTTTAACAGTTCTTTCGTAATAAGGCACGTTCAGCAATCACACAGTTAGATCTATTGAGACGTGCTGCTGCTACCAATGTCGTTTACAATATATATGAACAGTATATATGTATACAAAATTAGATGAGAAGATAAAGACCCCCTTTATTCAATTCAATCAAATCCCTGTTTATATCCTAGCTATATATTACGGCTGACGTCAGTCACTACCGTTAGCTTCTGCTTCTTTCTAAATTGTCTGCGGACCGGAATGGTTGGCTTAAACACTCGCCTCTTATTGGCGTTGTGTCGCAATACGGCTTCAGGTACCAACCCATCAAACATGTCAATGACAACGAACATACCAAGCTTCCTTGGCTCAGTCGGTAGAGCGTTAGTCTCATAATCTGAAGGTCGCCAGTTCGATCCTGGCAGGGAGCATTTTTTGCCTTTTTCCAAAAGACAGTGTATGTAGATGTTGTATTTTGCTTTATAGTAATGTTACAAATCAATAGTTTCTTTGCAGTTAAATTTTTGTATTTTTCTAATAATATTGTTACAAGCGAGTTGGCAGTAACGTGTATAGTATTATGAATGGTGGTATACATTTTCTTTTTCTGTCATTATAAAAAATACAATACATCTGGCATTATTTAAACTACATTCTATCTGTTGTAATGAAATAGCCACCCAAACGCAACTTGATTGAAAACCGAAATTTATCAAATAGCATTCATTCAAATTCATGCTATTTGGATCTATTAATAAAAGCGCTCAAATTTACATCAACAACCATTTAAACATACTAAAGTAAAGATGCACGCTTATATCGTACATCGTGTGAATGAATCACTCCTGATCACAGCAGTGTATTCACTCACACCAATGATGGTCGTAATAAGAGATGTCATATTTATCAAAATAAAATAAAGTCAATAACAAGCGTATTCAAATATGACAACTATGCTCTGCTGCCATAGTTGCACAATATCCCAGATAAAGGATTCCATACTTCAATAACAAACATCGCACCTTAAACCATCAAGGTTACATTAAATTATGCTATGACGATAGCTCACCCAAGCCCATCAAGGTTACTCAAATCGACCCTTATGGCCAGTGCTTTTGCATTGATTACCACTTTAAATCAAACATCAACAACATTTGCCAGATATCGCAATAGCAGAACCTATTGCGCTCTATCATCACTAATCCTACAGGCTAGTTGCAAATGTATAAATACTCTTCTTTTTTTACTCAATTCCAGGACCTTCAGTTCTGTTAAGCACAAAGAATAAAAGGATTATTATTTGTAGCTTATAAAAAATGTTCGATATTATAAAAACAAGAAAAGACTTATTTGAATAAGATCAGACACAAAAACTAAAGATTTATTGATGAAGACAAGAGTTATTCTATTTATACTAAGTTCTGAATGCCAAAGTAGCAATTTATCTTGTACAACGCTTATCACATCTGGTGAACCTCAGTATTTAGATAGCTGAGATGCACTTCACTTATCATAGCTTGTCCATGTTGTTGCACAACACAGACATATCTACCCATCAAGAATACCTTAATCTTTATAGACAGTTGTAGCCCTTCTGGCACAAAATATATATCGCTAAGCATACATCTTTAGCATGTATCTGGATATATGGCATGTCTATAGCATGTCTCATATATTGCACAAGTCTGTAGTACATAAAGTATCTGTAGCTAGTATCACGGATATAAGCATGTGTCTTATAGCGTGGATCATGAAGTGCACATCTGAAGCAACAAGCCCATATTGCATTAATCTTGGTGCCTATCCAGAAGATATGGTAAACATCCGTAGTCAATGTCGGAATACAAGTATAAGTCTATAGTGCCATCCATGTCCGTGGTGTCATCTATAGCCTATATCTTATATAGTATGAATCTTATAGTACTAGCGTATCTGAAGTCCATATCTTCTTATAGTACTAGCGTATCTGAAGTCCATATCTTCTTATAGTATAAATCGATATCGTACATCTAATCCAGTGTACATACAGTTTATATCTAAATCTGGTAACTGGATGAACTGTCGGAATGCAGATCATAATGGATGTATACTACAGAAGCTCCGTTGACCTTCCGCATGTGTACACCTCACAAGGATGAATTTGACCAAGCATTTTAAAAATCGGAGCGTACGAAAAAGGCCATATTAACTTGCTAGTTTCAAGTTATCAATAGATACATGACATGTTGAAGAATATTGTTGTTGAGATTAGACAACTGTAGCATGCTTTATTCAAGAATAATAACTTTTCCAATTTAAAGTATGTATATTCCCTCGCTTAAAAATAACATCTCCAATGTCGATTAACTCAAGAAGTAAGAATTTCCAATGTAATGTTCCCACTACTAAGAAGTTGCTCCAATATCATTATTCTACAACATATTTAAGTTTGACGAGATTCTATTTTTTTTTTTTTACCTGAGGACCTGGATGTACAAAATGTTTTTTGATTTTGAGGTTTTCTCAATGGTATTGCCGGTCTCACGGTTTATTATTTGGCCATCCAGAGCCGGTTTTTTGAATATTGATGGCAAGCCAATCATTCTAGCTCGCAGATCTTAGAGTGAGACAATGGAGACCCACTGGAATAATGCATATTCTCCCCATGCCACAGTGTAGACAATAACGGAGTAAACATCAGTATTTGGATTGAAATAAAGAAACTGACTGTCCAAATTTCGTTTCTTTGCTGCAACAAACGTATGTACGTTAGGCATCTTTATTGAAAATAGGAAGTACCCATTCAGTTGAAATAGTATATAGTTAAAGTTGATACCCTTCAATCGCTCATGCTCGAAGAATTGATCGATATTTGGTTCAATGAACTTTAACATACTCCCACTTAATCCTATTTAAGCATGCTATCTCGCTGGAGCATAGCATCTTGGAGAATATGGTTTCTAAAATCTGTGTTATAGGGGTAATTCTTCTTGAGCGTATGTTTTTTTGCTGCGAAGAAATCGACATACGGTACTAGTTTGCGTAATAAAGCAATTAGCGTTAATAATTAGTCGACAGCACTGCCATGTATACTTACAAAGGCAAATGAATAAATTTGATCCCATTACTGAGCACCAGTTTTTGTAAATGCCTTGGCCGTATACATTGGTTTTTGGGTCAATTTGAATGATCTCGTAGTTGCTTCCACTTTTGTCAAAGTCTGCACGAACGTAGATTGGTCTATTTGCAACGTATTCTATACTTGTTGTATTATTAATGATATAGTAGAAATGCACCCCAGTGAAACCAAGCAATGTCAGCCCAAACAGAAAACCTCTATCAATGTGGTTGGTGAGCAGTTTGTAAGTCCTCTATCACAAATCAACAAAACATACAAGACAGCAACAGTATACCAGTGAAAGCTGATGCCTTCTAGTCCGAGTCCTTCAACACCCGTCGATAGAGGTATCCATTTACGGTTGATCATCATCCATCCAACATTTTTCCACAAATAGTAAATGGAAGCAAGGTATACCTTGTAGGCTTTCCAACAAAAATCCAATGTGATGCTTCCTCCAATTTGCTGTGTAATTTTTGTGAGCAACATTAGAGTCGTGTTGATCTCCACCCAACATGAATACACTGTAACATAAAACACAAACAAGAAGAAGTGTTTGTAATTACTAGCATCCACACACCCATTGATCCTACACCTGGTATATTAGCACATCCAATACGGCGCTTGTGACTAATATCATCGTACCAAATACAATGACTAGATGCAAACATACAATTAGATTGGGAATGCAAAATGTGAAATAAAACTTACTGGTCCATCTTGGGTGCACATCTATTGCATTCTCTACAATGATGAGTTCTTTCAGGCTTTACCGTTCTGCATTTCTCACAATAAAGAGGCTCGCCTTTTTCCCCAGATAAAACTAGTGAAACAATGGGTGTATTCTCAGAGTCTATTGCGTGGTGATATTTTGGGAATGGAAATGTATCCGCCAGTTCTTCCAGCTGTGTGTCTTGGTTCAAGGGAAGCTTCGCTGCAGGTGTTAGCATGATGACAGAATAGGATATCAAGCTATGCACACACAAAATCAACGCGCAGACTGTAATTTTATTAGCAGAGAGCAGATGGAATTGACCTCCTTCTCAAGTTACCCGAGTTTATGCTTTTATACCATGGTTTTTCGGCAGTGAGGCGAGATGCTTTTGATGATGCATATTTAGGTTTACTTGTTGAAATGCGCACGTATTCTCACGTACCTTGGATAGTAAAGATGTAATGGTAGCAAGTATAAGAAAGTATTGAAAAGACTAGAACGGGCATAAAGATACCTATCAATATATGACGAGCCATAATAGTAGTATGTGTTGAGGATAAACAGAAATTTATTGTGAAATGGTTTCTATCAGGATGTAAATGGGAGAGAGGGCGGTCATTAAACAGACATTTTCATGTCGAGTTTGCTGTGAGGATTGTAATTTTCAAGTACAAAATCTTCATATTTGAAATCATCAATGCTAGTAATCTTGCGGTTGAATTTCAATGTAGGGAAAGGTCTAGGCTCACGCTCGATCTGCTGCTTAAGGGCGTCTAAATGATCCACGTAGACATGGGTATCACCCATAGTATGGATGAATTCTCCTGGATCCAAGTCAGTAACATGTGCAATCATACGAGTCAAAAGAGCATAGCTGGCAATGTTGAATGGCACACCCAAGCCCATATCACAAGATCTTTGATACAACACGCATGACAACTTGGCACGGCTACCATCAGCAGGAGGTGTGCTGACATAAAATTGACAGAAAGCGTGACAAGGTGGCAAGGCCATAATGGGGATGTCAGCAGGATTCCAAGCACTCAGGATGATACGACGATCCGTGGGGTTGTTTTTAATCTTGTCAATCACTTCCTGTAACTGATCAATGCCTTGTCCTGTGTAGTCTGTATCGCAGTCAACGTATTTTGCTCCAAAATGACGCCATTGGAAACCATACACTGGTCCCAGATCACCTTCCTTGCGATGTGTCAAACCAAGCTTGTCCAAGTACTCGCGAGAGCCGTTGCCATCCCATATCTTGATGTTGCGCTCGCTGAGATGCTTAGAGTTGGTATCTCCACGAACAAACCACAGTAATTCCTCGAGAACACCTCTGTAAAACACACGCTTGGTAGTCAAGAGAGGGAATATGTCATCCTTTAGAGAAAATCTAAGTTGAGGTGGAGCAAAGATGGCCAAGGTACCAGTGCCAGTGCGATCTGCTCTATGTTCTCCTTCATCCATGATGCGTTTGATGAGATCGAGATACTGGTATTCTTCGTGTGTAATAGTCATTGTGAGTAGGGTTCAAGAAACAGAAAGAAAGAGGAACTTATCAACATCGCGTAGTTGATTTTTAACAGACCGCGTTTCAGCAAGTCCAATGCGAATCACAAAGGGGTTGTATTTAGACGCGTGATCGTTGGTGTTGAAACTCACTCTACTTTTTACCTTTTCATCGTTACAAAATACCCATGGCAGGAGAACCATCTACGCATGATACTCTGGAGAGAATGACGAGGGACATGACACACCAGGAAGCTTTGGCGCAGTCCAGAAGAAGGCTAACGTCAAATGCCAATAACCGCATTCAGTTAACGAGGCCCAAAATGACCCCTCCAAACGACACCAGACACACAAATATTGCTCATCATGATCCTGCACTTCTTGGCCGAAAAGAGACGAAGAATGCATTGAATCTGATCGACAGATCGCTGGAAAACCTGCCGCCTATTAGAAGAAGAACTGTGCAAATCAAAGAAATTTTAGCCCCTCAAGAGCCTACAGAACTGATCCACCATAACAGCAACATTGTTGGCAACGAGGGATATGGCTACAATAGGATGGAAAGCAGCAGAAAGAGACTAGCTGCTGATGTGGACGATTTTGCACACATGAAAGAGACAAGATTACATGACCCCGTCAACGTCCATACCAATGATTCCTCTTGGGAATTGCGTCAATGTCAGGAAGAGCTACGTGAAGCACGAGAACAACTACAGGCGGTAACCAAGATAAATCCAGCGTGACGATATGACTCTAATCGTTATTCATCTAGTACAAAGAGCAATTGGCAGAAAAAACAATACAGTATGAAGAAGTGTTGAATGTCAGGACTTCAGAACCAGAAAAGGCGTTGGAAGATTTCCAGCATTGGACTCAGAATACAGAGGAAGGTTATCTTGAGTTACGAAATCAATTCGAAATCGTCTGGAACAAGAGCAAAGAAATGGACCTCGCGTTGGAGGGTGACAGTAAGCAACAACAGCAGGATGAAACTGCGAAGCTTAGAGATTTAGGTAACTACATTATTCAGATTGCAGTCGACATCTGGGAAACTCATCCATTGCAGTCCGTCAGCTTGAGACTGAATTAGAGCAAAAGAATGCAGAGCTAAACGATCAAAACAAAGTATCAACAGAGGATGCACGACATTTACTTGATTTATACACGGATTTGACGGGTCTTATCGTCCGAGATACAAAGACAAACAAAGGTGTCACTTCATACAAATGCTTGATCACTGGAAAGAACGGAGGTATGTTTTGCTGTTGCTGTAAAATGATAACAGATGTACTCACTCTTGTAAAGCCCTACAATTCGCGTTGTCCATTGGAAGAGGCAGCAACGCCTATGTGTTCTATAGCCCGGCATTGGATTGTCATCGAGACTCTAAACTAATTCAAAAGTTCCCCGCTTTTCTAAAGGAGGATATCGAGTTCACAAAAGACAACTTGCACAGCTTTTTCACCACATTATCTCAATTGATGAACAAGTAGAGCAATATCTGCTCTGGTCATGCAAATTATGTATATATACAATAAAGAGTAGCGTGTCATGTATTTGCTTGGCTATCGTCAAAAGCAGGCAAAAGTGGCTTTCTCATAAAATGCCTCAGCGCGCGACAGATAAGCCAGAATGCCTTCTTCCATGGAAACTCGTGAAATGAAATGTTCCTCTTGATACAGAACTCCTTCTTGATTAGATTTGAGTAGGGGGCTTACCAACAACCCGAACGAGTGCATATCAGAGGCAAGGTATACGATAGACATTGCTTCTGATTCATCAAATACAGAAGGCATTCGTTCTTTCTCGGAAAGATACGATAAGCAAGCCTTAACTTTACCGAAATGGCAATTTTCGCCTAAATACTACCAGGTAACATGTCGATGTTCATGAAATGCGGTTTCTTCTTTTTTTTTCTCATGATAACGAGGACGGAAAAATAGTCAGCCACAAAGGGTCTCCTCATGGATGTTACGCTACTCCTTGGTTGCTTAGTATGCTCAATCTTTGGAGGGGATCTTTCGGGGGGGTTTTTTTTTTTTCAATTTGTTCTAATTGCAGTGTCCAGCAGTGCAGATTATTTCTATTCATCTGTTTCCTAGCAACGTGAAATCTAGATTAGATGAAAAAGGCACTATGATATATAAGCTTAGATTTAAATAGAATCCAGATTAAACGAAACTTTAAATGTTCAGACCAATACATCTTTGGTTCAAACGAGATATACCATGAATGACGGAGACAGACGATAGATTCATCGTTACAAATATTTGACGTTTATGTCGTTGCAGCATTCTTGCTGAATCTGGCAAGGCGTAGGTTAATAGCCTTATACAAGCGTATGAAATAATAATATACCAAGTTATTTTAGTAAAAGTTCATTTCATGAAAGTAGTGGGGCGTGTCACTTCGGCTTGTTTAGTACAGATTAAAAAAATAATTGTAAACATGCTTACGCGTATAGTTTTTTTTATCGATCATCCATTTGTTCCATTTCGTCTATATTGGCTCTAGATCATAATCATGCAGGAGAATCTTGGATTATACACCGAGAATCATCATTTGATTCAGAGCAATTTGAATTGTGTTACTAGGCATGTCAAGTAAAATCCACTTTGCAAGTGGCAAGATGTCGAAGTTTTTGGTTGTATCCGCAATTATAATATAACTGCATTTGCATTGCATTGCGCCTGGCATATAGTTAAGCACTGCAGCTGTAGGTTTAATAAACAAATGTTTATTTATTTATGATCAACATATTTAGATTTGATAGTTTTTTCTATTGCGAATATGGGCCACGGGCGGCATTTTGTAGTAATAGGATTCTGTGTCGTTGTCTTCCATTGTCGAAACAGACGAGTCGGATTCAGAGGAGAGGGAGGTGTTGGACAGGGCCAATTGACTAGAGTACATGGTGGCAGCAGCATAAGTTGGGATATCAGCGTCATTTGCATGATGTTGAGCGGTTGCTGTGAGCACTGCTACGGGTTTCGTGATTTCAACCGCTACTGTGGGATTTGTGTATTGCTTGAAGCGGTAGTATGCGTTAGACAAATCTGCAGGAGAAATCAAAACATGATAGTTCTAACATAAAGTTTAGCTTTTTTTTTTTTTTTTTAATATCAAGCAGAGATTTCTATACAAACCATCAATGACAATAGCTGCTTCTCCATCAAGTTAATTTCTGATAGTGTGAAATAGGCTGCATATTTTGCCCAATGTTTGTTCTTTGGCGAAGTATCATGTAATGCCTTTGAAGTAACTATCAATGTAGCCAGGAATATACGGTGCGATGTGCATGGCATCCCCTTTGCAATGTTGGACAGGGATTGTTGCAACCTGTGCAAGAAGACCAGTGATCCCAGCAATGTACCCGTACGCACTGAGGAACGCTTCACCAGGAAGCCAATAAACGAGTGCAATGGAGGTAGCACACCGACTGTAGTTGTTGTTATCGCTGTGTTGCTGTGGCATGGAATAACAAGTGCCGCTTGCTCTGCTACAAAGGCGAGCATTTCAGAAGTAACAGGTCTACGGATCAAATCCTGAATGTCCTTCAGTATGGTTTCATCCATAATTCGAGGCTAAATATTTGTATTAGAGAATAAATAAATAAGAACGAATGCAAAACAACACACGTTAGTTTTTATTTATGTATAATAGGATGAGAGACATCTTGGTAAAATTGCGATACATGTATTCATATTATATCATTCAATTTGTACAATTCAACTAGGCAAGAAATGAAATAAGGGGGGGGGGGTATCATACTGTAGCATTATCGCCTTGAAAAAAAAAAGTTATTAAACTCGTATATATACACTTTTCATTGTTTCAGTTCACTTTTAAATCTTCTTGTTTTTCTTTGCCCAACGAAGACCACACGCGTTACATAGACTGCAAAAAAGATTAGCAACAAAAGCCGTATACATACAGTACATTGCTTACGTTTTAGGCCCATGAGGTCCTTTGCGCCATTCTGGCGACGAGGTGGTGCCGCAATCAGTGCAAAGGTATTCAACACTGGCTTGCTTTTTCTAGATAGATTGTATTAGCTATTTAATGTGTAGAGACATTTATCAAGTATACTTTACTCTGCGTTTCCATTTATCCTTTCGTGCGACATCGAGTGGGATCATCAAGGTATTATCAGACGATGGATAGGACGCTGTTGTAGCTGTTGTTTTTATAGGCATAGTTAAGGTGCTTGTTGAAACTGTTGAAGTTGCTGTATTAGTCGTAGTACTTGGAGTAGTCGTAGTCGTAGTCGTAGTCGTTGCGGCGGCTGTTGTCAGTCCATTTGCTTCTTCTGCTTGGTATCTGCTCATTAGATCCGTTGAAGAGGCTGCAGACGGTGAGTAATTCCACTGGTCCTCCATCATCGCAGAAACCGTAGACGGCCTACGTGAAGATTGAGTTATTTGTGTTTGTTGTTGTGGTTGTTGATGAGCCTGCTGGTAATGATGATGATTATGTTGTTGCTGCTGTTGCTGCAGATACTGTTGCTGTTGATGTAGCTGCTGTTGTTGGTGTAGCTGTTGTTGGTGTAGCTGTTGTTGGTGATGGTGATGGAGCTGCTGTTGATCATTTGTATTGTACATGTCGTCATAAAAAACATAGGACGGCTGCTCTAGATGGTATTGTTGCTGTGGTTGCTGTAAAGTTACCTGTCGCTGACTGCATGTTGGTTCTACTGCTGAAATGGGTGGAGAACGGTTCATACTCAAGAACCCTTCAAGACGTTTTTTTAACCATTCATTTTCCAGCCTCATCTCGAGGAATGCATCCATCAAACCGTTGCTTCTTGATAGATACGGCTGAGCGATGGCAAAAAAGTACTGGGGAGGTTGATTCACAGCATCTTGCTTTGGATGACCTATGGATTCTAGTAGCACGAAGGAATTGTCCTTGCATCGAAGGCGATAGTGTATTTTGATGCGTAACATGGAGCTAAATGCCAACTGAAAGTTCTGAATAAATAAATCCAAATCATCTACATGTATAAAATCGGTCAACGATCTTCCTACAAGTTCTTCGGGCTGGAATCCTATGACAGATATACACGACGATGAGCAGTATAATATTTTTCCTGTTGGCGATAGCACATGGAGTAATCCCGTAATATCCTGGAGTATGCGTTCAGACCAATTTTTACTGTAATTAGTCAGGATTTGCCCGCAATTGAAACTCTGGTCGTTCTGATAGAGCAAGTTGCTAGCATCGAGAGATGTCATATTGTTCATATCTAGGTCTAAGTTACTGGCGTTGAGAGATGGATGGTTGTAATAATGCTCTAATTGTTCTTGTGATTGCTGCATAGGAATATCGGATCTATTAAGAGATACATGAGAGAGTTTGGTTACTGGATCAGTGGCCCGCTTTGTTGAAGAGGATGATGATGGACGTACAATTAGGCTTGTTGCTATGGTAATCATAAGTTGGAGCTGGTATTAATGATATGTCAAATGTATATGTAGATGTTGAATAAGCTTTCTAGTTAAGGATAGAAGACTAAGCCGGAATTGGCAAATTGCAGAAACTTGAATACTGAGGAAATCCCGATTTTCAATAAAAGATTAAAAAAAAAAGAGAAAAAGTGAGAAAAAGAAGAGAGAAAAGAAGAGAGATAGAGCGAGAGAGAAGAGATGCTTTAAAATATAAGGGTTGCGATGCATGGCTCAATTCCTTATTCAGGCACAATTCCCAATGAATCGGGAGCCAACCAATAAGCATAACCAGATTTGCCGATGCTGTCATTGTGCAATTTTGGTGTGAATCATATACTATATTTTACCAAGGCATAGGGGTGAGAGAGAGAGAGAGAGAGAGAGAGAGAGAGCGAGAGAGAGGAGTCATCTCCCCTTGAATCAGTTTTAGGTTTTTTTTTTGCCATGTGCAACGTCATACATGACGTATCTACATAAACACCTTGTATATGATATGATTATATACACATCATGATGCTAGATGTTTTGCACTTGTGTGCTCCCAATTTGTCTTCCTTTTTTATACAAGGAAGATATTGCACAACTGGATAATGGTGTCATTCACCTTTTGAATAAGCTTCTTTCCTCGGTCGTTTCTGTGTAATTGAGTAGTGGGGTAAATATTCTTCATACGACGATCGATCCCAAATGTCAATTTCTTTTTTACGAAAAAATTTTTATCATGATTGTGGTACAAATCACAGTTTGCTTAATAATCGTTGCGTTCAAGCAAATTAAGGAAAAGTATAACTCTCAGAATTGCATGTTTTTATTTATTTGGATAAAAGTGATGTTTTCCAATGCGAAAAGATACAAAATCGGAGGATTGGAGAATAAGATGTCCACAAGTTGTGTGCGACCAATTTACATGTCGATTCGCATTCTGTGAGATTATCTACAAACCTTATTTTTACAACAAATGGGATAGCTTTTCCCAGCTCTGAAACTAACGCCTGTGGTCTGTTGCTATGGAAACATGGTTTGACTTGGCTCGTAGGCACATGGCAACCGCCCATTCTTGATTCTTCAGAAAACATGGAATTTTTACTTGCTAAATGTGAATAAAATGTTGAAGTTCATTGTACAGCATTGACCCCCTCCCCCTAATTATCACAAGTATGAACTGCAGTCTATTGATCATACGGATTAGAAACGAAACATAGATATATATAACACCTTTCCCTCTTTCTATCATTTTTTTCTCCTTTTTTCATCATTTGCAATCTATTCAGATCCTTCTCTTTTTCCCCAGAATGGTTGATAATCAGAAGCAAAATACGAGCGGGTGGCCAAGCGATTGTTTTGAAAAAGAAAAGTTCAATATAATTGAATTCTATCACAAGATTTTGTGGACCAGTCAGCAAGAACAAGAACGGTATCAACAGTATGATGATCACAACAAACCCCGAAAAAGAGTTACGTTTTCTGCTGAACCCCCACAAATATATGAATATGAACCTGAGCATACAACATCCACACTGACCACCAGTTTCCTCTCTGAATACATCAAGCGAAAATTATATCCCGTACAAAATGAGCGATTCCCAACTAAACGGCCGCAACAAAAGTCGCCTAAACCACCACTGTTATTGGGGGACTACTTCATGGACAAAACCACCGTACGAGTTCGCTCCATCACAAATTTCAATCCTGTTCCAAACCAATTTTATAGACAACAGCAAGAGCAACAACAGCAAGAAGCGCCAACTTATTGTAAATCCATGCACACATTTGATTCAACCTTCATGCACATGGATATGTCTTTTGATATAGAACATCAAGAAGACATGTACGCCTTATCTACCTGTGCTCCTGCTAATTTAGAGGATTCCATTACCACAGTACCATCTCCTCCTCCATCTTATAATGACAAAGAGTGCATGATCAAAAGTAAAAAGAGTTTGACTGGTGGGCTTAAAAAGAGAATATCCATGAACTTTTGGTCATCTCATAGTGGCGGATCCGCATCTTCCACCACTACAGATTCCAATACAGCAGTAGCAGAGAAAAAAGGCATCATAAGAACACTACGAAAAATTAAATCCTCACCAAAGTTAATGATACAAAGGAGAGCCTCTGTAGCATCCCTGCGCAAAGAGGCGTCGTTTTTAGGTGCATGATGTAAACATTCTCAAGCATCTATTCTGCTACGACCATCTGAACTGTATATAAAAGATACCCTATAATAGCTATATACATTATTGCCATACAAATAAAAGAAAATGCCAAAAATCGATATTGATTCGAGATGAGTTGGTCCAATTCAATAGGGCATAATTGAACAATCAATGAGTTGAAATCCTGTTATACAAATTTTGTATATATTATACAGTATCTATATATTGAAAATAGGGGCAAAGGAGACACAAGAGCATCATTTTGCATACAAATAAATGAATTAGCTGTACAGGAAATTGCAAGATTTGTTGACATTTTTCCCTTGTACATGTAAAGGCTGCTCTAGGCCGTTTTTACTACGCTTCACATCCTATGGTGTTACATGCAATTTGGGATAGGATGGCAAGTTTGCACTTTGCATTTAGACAAGCAATTTTGAACCATCAAACCTATTCAATGCAAAAGCACGCTAAAAATTCAAAAAATAGTGCATATTATGCTAGGCTGTAGTACTCTTCCACTCGCAATTTTCTTCACATTCGCTTTAAAAAATATTAATATTTTGCATGAAAAGCCATTTGCCAGCCAAAACTGTTGGTTCAAATCCCGCTCGACATCCTGTCTCGATTCGTGAATTTCTTATCAATTTGCGACTTGATTGATTTATTTTGCAGCATTCGACCATAAACATTTGATGATTATTCAATGTTTTCTTAAACTTTCTAGAAATACTTTTAAAGGCGCATCCAATGATGCTAATTGCAATACATGCTATAAAAGAACTTATTGAGTAATAACTGAAAACATGAAATGAGGTTTTTGGCGAAAATGTCGAGATTTTACATATCAAGGTGCCACAAAAACAATCTCAAGGGTTGCACGGGATCCAGAGAAACATTTTGCTTAACATATGCCATAGCAAAAGTCTTCGTTTTTGAGGTGAAAAACGCGATCGTTTGATTTCCGGTGAAAACCATGAGGTATCCCTCATGGTTTTTGGTCGAATTTTGATGATCCGAGCAAAGGTGTCAGAAAGTAGGTGCTAGACGAGAGTAACCGTTTGGTACTACTCTGGCGGCCTAGAACGGCCTCCAACACAAGAAATCGAGGCTCAAGTGCGCCCAAATTTCGCTGTGTTTTGCCTACTTTTGAGCACTGCGAGGTAATGCAAGTATGTTGTGTTCCTTTATATCTATGTATTTATTGATGCAGACTTGGAGCTTCCCAGAAGAGTCAGATTTACAACTACATATTGCTTATAGAAGATTCTTACGAGTAATGAAAGGCGAAAAAGTGGCATGGGACCCATATTGGTAGGGTAGATGCTAATGTTCTCTAATCTTTCTTCCGAAGATAAGATTCAGGGCACTATGATTTTTCATCTCTGAAACCTTTCTACGATTCATCTTCTAAGAAGGGCGTACAGCCAATGGCAATAAGCATCTCATTATTAGAAACGTGGATTGTCAAATGCTATAGGCTCAGCAAGATTGACGCCATATTCAACAAGTGTGTTGCATACATCTAAACAGAATAAAAAAGTATAAATGAGCTGTATTTTTCTTTTTTTCTACCTTATACATTTTTTCCCATGAGCCAAGAACATCAATTCCACTTTGACACACTTCAATTGCATGCTGGTCAGACTCCTGACCCTGCTACCAATGCTCGTGCTGTGCCTATTTATGCTACCTCCTCCTTTGTCTTTAATGACGCTGATCATGGGGCTGATTTGTTTGCTCTTCGCAAACCTGGCAATGTTTATTCTCGGTAATATGCCAACATTGAATATTGTAGTCGTACAAATGCTAACCAATCATCCATACAATATAGCATTATGAATCCTACCAATGATGTGCTTGAGAAGCGTATTGCCGCCCTTGAGGGAGGCGCTGCTGCAGTCTTGACATCTTCAGGTCAAGCTGCACAATTCACTGCCATCACTACTCTTGCTAGTGCGGGTGATAATATTGTATCCAGTGCTTCATTGTACGGCGGTACCTATATCCAATTAAAGGTCTTGTTGCCTCGCCTTGGCATCAATGTCAAGCTTGTTCCTAATGACGATCCTGAGGAGATTAGAAAGGCCATTGATGATAAAACCAAAGCTGTCTATGTTGAAAGTCTCGGTAACCCTAGTTTTAGTATCCCAGATTTCGAGGGTATTGCTCAAGTTGCTCATGAAAATGGTGTTCCGTTGATCGTAGACAAGTAAGTTTTCAGTTGGGAAAAGAGAGCAATACCAGTGAAATTTACACATTGCTATAGTACATTTGGTGCTGGTGGTTACTTGATTAAACCCATTGAACATGGTGCTGACATTGTTGTTCATTCTGCAACAAAGTGGATTGGAGGGTAAAGTATTGTATGGGGATTGCACAAGAGAACTCAAGAAGGCTGACACACTTCATTGTATAGCCATGGTACAACCGTTGGTGGTGTCATGATCGATTCTGGCAAGTTCAATTGGGCCAATGGCCGATTCCCTGATTTCACAGAACCCTCTGAAGGCTACCACGGCATGGTCTTTACCGAGGCATTTGGCAATGTAGCGTTTGCTGGTCGTTTCCGCACTGAAGGTGTACGTGATATTGGTGCTTGTCAGAACCCGTTTGCCTCCTTTTTACTGCTGCAGGGTGTGGAGACATTATCTCTCAGAGTGGAGCGCACAGTTGCCAACGCTCTTGAATTAGCTCGTTGGTTGGAAAAGAGAGATGATGTGAGCTGGGTCTCTTACCCTGGCCTTGAATCACACCCTTATCATGAACGTGCTCTCAAATACATGAAGCATGGCTTCGGTGGTGTGCTAACTTTTGGTGTCAAAGGCGATTCCAAGACCTTTATCAATAACTTAAAACTGACATCTCATTTAGCCAACGTGGGTGATGCCAAAACTTTGGCTATTTGTCCTGCTTTGACTACACACCAGCAGTTGAGCGACGAAGCACAAGTTGCTGCTGGTGTCACTAAAGACATGGTTCGTGTCTCTGTGGGCATTGAGCACATTGATGATATCAAATGGGATTTTGATCAAGCACTCAAGAAGGCCTTTGCTTCTGCTTCTGCCTAGTTTAGTATCTCATTGCGCCCTACTCCTTATATTTTCTATGTAAAATCACTCATCCAACTATATATCAATAAACATTTGATTTTAAAATCAAACTTACGAAAGGGTTTGAGTGGAGTAACTATCAGGATCATCACAAAGCTCATAATTTGCCGAATCTTCTCTCACTATACATTGCATCTCTAGTCTAGCCTACATCTGAGATTCTCCTCTCATGTCAGTGTACCTGTCAAGTTGGGTTGGCATTCAATGACAATGTGAACGGGTACACCCACTATACCTAACATATACGGGTCATGCATTTTCTATGTAGACTAGTAGCCAATGATTTCCATTGCTTAGCAAGTGTGGATTCGGTAAACTTATTTAAGCGGAGGGAATTTAACGAGTTTTCCTTTCTTCCTCTTGCAAGTACTTGTCTAGTATCTATCTCAACTTCTCCCAACACACAATATGCGACACCTGTTGATAACCAGTATACTTGCGCTGGCATTAGCGACACATGCACAAGCCAGTAGTTTGTTTCAAACCTCATTTATTAGCTCACATCAGCAATTGGAAGACGACATCTACCAAGAACTCAATCAGCTATTGCTCAGTAAGGAAGATGACCCCAAGAATCCAGATGATGCGGCCAAGAACTGCAAATCTTGTATCAACCTGCTCAAAATGACAAAACGATTTTGTTATTTTCCTGAATCGATTCAACTAGCTGCAATGACAAATGTCTGCAAACGATCAAAACAAGTGGATAATCAAGTTGTAAGACATGTTGCGTTTGTGCGTAGTGTGTGTCTGGAAAACTCATTGCATATTTCTAGTGCGAAGGCATGGTTCGAGAGCAAGGACCTGTCATTCGTAAAGTTTTAAGGGTAAGTGCATTTATGTATGATTTTATTGGATACTGAATGATGGTGTAGACTATGGACATATCAGGAAGAGATGGACATTTGGCATGTGCCTCCGTTTTGAATGCATGCCCGTATCCAGGCAAGTTATGCGTGATTTGTGGCAAATCAGACTATAAACAATTTTAATAGGCATTGAGCCATGGAAGGTACCTTTTCCAAAGAAAAAGCCAAAACATCCACATGTGCATAAACCAACAAACAAAACAATGACCGTCCTTCATCTCAGCGATTGGCATGTGGATCCTTTATACGAGGTGTGTGTTTGCCATGGTGTATGTCATGATTGAGCGAGCTCTCATTCAAGTGTGCTTTATAGGAAGGAACAGAGACTCTTTGCGATAAGCCTATATGCTGTCGAAAAGAATCAACAGATTTTGACAATATCCTGAACTCGGCATCGCCCTGGGGATCTTATGGATGTGATTCGCCACTCACATTGATTGAATCCATGCTGGAATATATACCTACTGCTTCACCCAATACATCATTTGCCATCTTGACTGGCGATATCCCGCCGCATGAAGTGTGGGAGACACTACCCACAGAGAAAACACAGATGATTCAAGATGCTTCATATGCTTTGCTGCATGCTCACTTTGATTCACCTTTTCTCATTAATACCAAGCTGTATCCAGCTATTGGGAATCATGAGTCTGCACCGACCAACCTGTTTCCTCTCGTAGATTCAAATTTACCAGGAGGCAAGAGACACGACGACCTCACCATGGATTGGTTGTACGAGTCTTTTGAAGAGAATTGGAAGGGATGGCTGCCAAGGAGGCATCTCAGTCGTGTACATAAAAATAGCGGTAGTTACATCAGTCATCCCATGCCCGGTCTAAAGCTGATTAGCCTCAACACCAATTTCTGCTACAATCTCAATTGGTGGCTCTACGAACATCCCACAAAAAGAGATCCTAACGGTATACTGAAATGGCTCATTAGTCATCTACAAAAGTCTGAAGACGTGAATGAAAAAGTGTGGATCATTGGACACACACCACCTGGTGATTCTTCGTGCTTTCATGATTACGCAAACTACTATTACCAAATTGTAGAAAGATATGCTCCTCATGTCATTGCTGGCCAGTTTTTTGGACATACACACAGGTAACTACTCGTCGCATATGCTCTTGAGGCAGTATCTTATGCTGGATATAGAGACGAGATCCAAATCTTTTATAGCCGTGCTTCTCAAAAGTCAAAAGACGCCATCTCGGTCGCTTATTTAGGACCATCAATTACCCCCTTCCCCAACCTGAACCCTGGATTCAGGTAAGCACTCGGCACCGTTCATCTCCCATGTCGTATTGACTCTTTGGTAGAACCTACACGGTAGATACAGGAACTTTTGAAGTAGTTGAATCTCACACTTTTATTGCTGATTTGGATAAATCAATCGCTTGGGATCAAGAGCTCGTGAGTTGTCCCATGCGAAAGTCAAACATGTGAAACTAATTGGGCATTATTCTTCTAGAATTGGCACAAGGAATACTCGGCGAATGAGCTGTATGGATCCAGAGAGAATCCATATAAACCACTTTCAGCTAGCTGGTGGCATCATGTCACTCGAGAAATGGAACTGGATGGCGAAAAGTTTGATTTATATTGGTCAAATCGATACAAGTCATCTCCCATGACACCCGAATGTGATGAGGCATGTCGTATCAATACGATATGTGGCATGCGTGCTGGCAAATCAGAACTGAGGTGCGATTACGATGCTTCAGAGTCAACACCGAGACCCGTTATTTTAGATAGAAAAGAAGAAGAAGCTTGCGGTTTATCACTGCTTAAACGAAAGCATCATCGTTAATAATAAACGCCTGTATCATATACGAATCCCTGAGTTCCAATACTTTCGTGATCACATTTACACATTCACACATACAACTATGCAACTCGCTTTATCTCTTTTTCGTGCCTCTGTGTATCCTTTCGCATACCATGTCTTTATACGATGCTGATATATCAGAGACCATTTGGAATGGAAAGATCCCCTTCAAAGTAACATTGGATCCTACTGATATTGACATCTACGGCAGTGAAAAAGTCTGGGATCCTATCTACGTAGGTTCAAGTGTTGTCCTTCTCGAAACGTTGTAAAAGCCTGACTATGTTACTCTGCAATCCAGTTAGAAGTATCGAGATGTTCATACCTACCTCTAGTCACAAAGCATGTTCAGCAATTACTATCAAACCTTGGAATGAAAGTTTCGGACGAAGTATTTCAATCTGCTTGGTACGATCATGAGCGACAACCGCTAAAATGGTATGCAAAGAAAAGCAATGACCAAACGAGCCTCACTAATACGAGTACCAGGCACTATCCAGTTGGATTGCTCTTTGATTTGCATGCTGCAGACCTATCGAAAACATGGAACCTGACGCTTCATTTCAAAAACTTGCCTAGCGACTCCATTCTGTTAAAGCCTACACCAGAGACAATGCAAGATATGTTTATGTCAATGATTAAAGAGGTATCAAGGCTGATACACGAACCTTTTTTTTTTTCATTTGACTAAATACTGTATTTCAGGCAGACTTTCTTCGCAATGGCAATATCAAAAAGGTCATGAACTTATCAAAACGCGATACTGCGCAATTATGGGATTCGCTGGCTTCAGGTACATTGGCATGGGATACATTCTAATTGACATGTCACTCACTACCAGCAAATGACCTCAAAGATCGATATGGCGAATTTCGAGAAGTCAATAGGCAGCTTGTAGAGTACACTGATAGTTTGCGACATATACCACTTCGAGTCTATTTACCTGATAACTGTCCAGTTGTGCAGGAATTGATATCGTTTTATAACGATTCGGGTAAGCAGTGGTTAATCTAATCCAAAGTCATCCGAGTATTGATATATAGGTAGAAAAAGAAAGCATTCCTACGCTGGGGAATATTCTAGAGAAAACGATACCAGATTTGTTTGTAGCCTCAGAGCTTAATGGAAGAGTGGCCATTGTTGCGCATAGTGTCGATTTACCACTGGATACTCCTATCAATTGGGCTTATGAAAATCTATCATATGCTGACAATTTCCTTCATATTGTGGTTGCGAGGAAGTCTTGATGTATGCAAATGTTAAATAGAATCAATAAACAAAGGGGCGTTCATCTTGTTGAAACATAGAAATGGGATATTTCTATAATATAGATGTACTAGCCGATCTATCTCGCTATGCATGATATCGGCGTCACCCTGCGGGCTCTCACCAAAGGCATTTTAAATCAGATATAATAAAACTTTTGGTATATCAAGTAGATTTTAAACAATTAATTCATAGTAAAAAAAAAAGGATATATCAGAGTGAGGAGGGGAAGGTGTTCATTCGCTGATGCTGCTCTTAAGGTGGCGACATAAAGCTGGTCATAAGTAAATACAGGACTTGTGTAAGATCTACAGCGATCTTTTGTGATATTGTCACTGCAAAGGACACCTTTTTTATAGGGAAAAAGCCCCAATAAAAAATATTCGGATTAATCAATTGTCCTTTCAATTCCAAGATCCATTTAATAATCAGCATTACAATCATTATTGTCATCATCATCAGCAGAAAGGCATTTGGGTCAGCCAGCAGCAATGCTGCCGCCAAAATTGATTCAAGCTCAGTAATTTTTTCTCTGTCAAGATTGGACAGATTTTGTTTCTTTTCGACTTCTTTAATCTATTTTGCCATATTAGACTATATAAATCGTGATGATCATCGGATGCTTCCTAATACTGGCTCTAGGTGTCGCACCTTATTAGTAGTAGATTTCTTTCCCAACTTAATTCAAAAATATCTTATTTCCCTTCTTTGCAGACATTGGGTCCACCAACAGTCTTTTCTATCCCTCAGCATGACATTTTAAGGACTTTAAATAAAACCTGGAGCTCGTCTCCCCTACAAAAAAAAATGCTTCCTTAAGCTTTCCTGGAGTACTTTTCAAGGTGCATCCAACGGTACTAAGTAAAACAGATGATTTGAATAAACTTATCAAATGATTTATGAAAATATGAAAAGAGGTTTCTGGCCAAAATGTCGAGATTTTACACATCAAAGTCCCACAAAGATGATTTCAGAGGTTGCTTTGGATCGATAGAAACATTTTGATTCAAGATATACCGTAGCAAAAGTCTTCATTTTCAAGGTCAAAAATGCGATATATTGCTGGTAAGCTTATTAACAATGGAAATGAAAACCCGAATTTGCTGCTTGAATACTATGATTTTGCGTATTCGCTTCGCTACAATCAAGCCCTCGTATAGGCCAATACTATCAAATGCTGGACTGGATGCTTAGTTGTCATAGGTTTGCACCTTCGCTTCTCTCATAAATCGATCTACAAACTGTGCCCAAATCATCTACAATGGGTGCCACCAAATGAAACGCTAAATCATATTTTTATCTGAATTGAGCCGAGGATATATGAGCATTCAGTGTTTATTTTTGTGACACCTACACCATTATATGATAGTTGATTTATAGAGATTTGCTACCATGTAAAGTGATACATCTGCCAAACTCTAATTCGTATACAATTCTTCAGTACATGTTGGACAGGGCAAACATTCCTCCAGGCAACTCATTCAGATGTCCTTTAATGAACGACAAAAGGTATGTTTTCCTTCGAGGACCCAAAATGACAGCTGAAATATAAGGTTACATTGTCGAGAATATTTGTCATTCGATGTCGGGGAGATGACTCAAATGAATCGTTATCATTTCATTTGACAATGCAATGTATAAATAGATCAACTTTAACAGAGACATTACGATCGACTTTCGTTACGATATACTTCAACATGACAAGACAATAGGCAAAAAAACCCAGATCTCTCTGGTTTCTATACACTTAAGGTGTAATGATGTATCTACTTGTAACACAAACTTTGCCAAGCTTGTTTTTATACTGTTTTTTTTTAATAGAAACGGGCGTTCAAATCAACATGCTGCACTGACTTTCTGTATCACCATCATTGTATACGCAAAAAAAGGGGCACATGTCCATCTAATCGAACGGTCATTACTCGAGTACCTTGACTTCGGGTCTATAAATTGATCCGACAAGCGGAAAAAAAAAGAAAATTCAGGGGTCCAATGCATCAACGAGGTAGCGATATCAAAATAGTACCCCTGGCATCATTTTTGCATCATGAAAACCGTGTGTAAACAATAAACAAGTGCATTACATAAGAATTCTTTTTTTTTTTTTTGTGGAGGACCACCGCCCAACCTTTTGTGCTGTTTCATTGTCAACAAAAACAAAGCCAAAAGCAAGTAAAATGCGTATATTTTTGTTTACAAATTGCTTACTATTGTCAGGATTCAAATGTCGTTGGGTTTCCTTCTCTTGACTGTGTAACAAAATAGAGAGTGAAATCGGCCCAATGTCAATGGATCATACCAGTACCTTCGTCCATCAAAACACTACGTTGCGCTTAATAAACAAGAGATAGTATTCAAGAACCAATATGTCAGCCCATGCGAGCGTTAGGATTAAAATTGCGCATATCATGATTTTTTCAAATCAAGATTGTTGCTGTTTATTGCAACCATACTTCCAACCCTTCGGTTCATTTTAGTGTATACTTAAAGGCACTGATCTATAACGGGCAATTGATCATAGGGGTTTTACCAAACCTTGACATTAATAATAGCGAGTACAAGCATCTTAGCTGGGAATCGGAGCTGTGGGGTGTCTTGATTCAACATGTTTGTATCACGCTACTTGTCTGCTTAAACAGAGGTTTCTTATTTTTAACCAGACGTGTACAGATTTTCGCCTCATCTTTTGGGACACTAGGAAGCGAAAAGATTCGAAACGAATACAAATGCAACCAGGAAATCTATTTGTACCTGATATCTAACTCAAATCAATATATACATGCGTTTTATAAACCCTCATATGACCCGTTTATTTGCTCTATTTTTCTACAGTAATGTTACACTTGCAGGTGTTTGCCATACTATCACCATGAAAAATTAAAGGAATCCAACAAAAAAAAGAGTGGCCTAATGCGCCTATCCAAAGCAATATCCAGCAGGTGCTCCCCGAAATGGTGCTATAATTTTCTTCTTCTCTCCTACTATACTCTCCAAACTCTCAACACCTTGAGAGGAGAGACGTCAATAGTCTAGCTGGATTACGATTGACGATGGTATTAAATGAAATGGTATTGTTAAACGTGCATAATACATGAAAACAGAAGTCGATGTTGTGTTCTCATCACGCGTACACAGCGTCTTGGTAACATCTCTTTACATGGAATTTTCTGTTCCTTCAAATACGCCAACATTTTGTTTTACTGATCTACGCAGAGCCATCATATGAAGGCTTACAGTTTATTCTTGACAGAGTATTCTACCTTTCTATCAATAGAACATGACCAGAGCCGAGTCAGTGGTCTGTGCGCCTTGTTCAACTTGATTTTTTGAAGGATTTGTGGTCATGAACGAGATATGGATCATATCTAGATGAGAGATGTAGATGCCGCACAGAGTTTCCATATTGCATCGCGTCTTCGAGACGAATTGACAATGTTATAAAGAGTAAGGAATGCGCATAAACAGAACATCCATACATCAAACCATATGCACAAAAATCGTAATGATCAATCAGTACACAGTGCAATCAACAATGCATGTAGAGAGATTTAGCGCTTTGACTTTTTCTTTTTTTTTTTTTTTTTTTTTTTTTTTTTTTTTTTTGTGTGGCAATGTTGGCTAAATGCATTTCGTGCGAGGCATGCATTGAGAAATTATATATCAATATATATATCAATATATATATATATATATATATATATAAAAGTGATGAATTAATCACAACGTTTTACAAGCGCAAACCATAAACACCTTTTCCTAAAATGTATGAAAGACGTAAATAGTCAACATCTTCTCCTTGATTATCGCAAAACATATAAGGAAAAAAGAGCAACATCAAATCAATCCGCATGAGAAACAAGACAATGCTCCTCTCGCTATTTAAGACAACTTGAACACTAAGAAACCAAGCTCTTGCTCCCATGATCATTTGGCGGAAATAAATGTAATGCAATATATATTTTCCTTTGCAACAGCAGGGATGATTTGTTATAAGCCATGTGTATTCATCATCCATCATTCACAGACATGTCCTTCTTCGCTAAATGCATCTATGCAGAGCATTTTGTAAAGGCGCCTTGCTTTTCTTTTTGCCAATGAGAGCACAAACAAGGTAGAAGTAGAGGCACAGATTTGTTGTCATTGTGCAATCAGAAAACATGAAAAAAAAGGACAGGTCGGGGCTCCCCTTTGCGTGCGTATTTCATTATTTATTACTACGAGAGCAGAGTTGTTTTTAATTGATTTCCCTCTTCTTTCACTTTTCAACAGATTTTCTGCCATCTTTCCGTATATATATATCCCCTTTTTTATTGTTTTGCATATTCTGGGGCAAGGAGACAGCCTATTCTTCGATTTAAATAAGCAAAAAACGAAGAAAGCACATCTGGATCAGTCGACCGTTTTCTTGATTGTTTTACTTTCATCTAGACATTTTGTATATTACCCACTACTACTACTGCTAAAGCCCACACAATGAACTCTAAAAATGTAAGGTTAGATACAGTTTTAACATGTGGAAAATCCTCAGTTGAATAGATTATACAAAACTTTCATGACATGGCAAGCTAATTGACCCTATTCATACACATCTGTCTTCCTTCTTTGTATCTGCAGATGAAAACATTTACCCCAATAGTGCTATTCAATAACCATCAGAGTAATAACGGCAGCAGCCAGCCATTGTCGGCAACTCATAATAATCATACTCCATCCAATGAAGATCGACACACTCAGGCTCGAATAGAACAGCATTGGATAAAGACCAAGGAAATGCTGGCTCAAAATGCTCAGCTTTGGGAGCAAGAAGGCTATCTCAGAACGAAGCCTGCTTCCATCTCAGGTATAACTTGCAATTAGATTCAACTCTCTTATAACGGAAAACATTTTTTTTCAGCGTCACAATCTAACATGTGGAATCTCTTTTTGTAGCATCAGATCAACATGATACATTACAACAATCAGACCTTTCCAAGGTCAAGATCGATAGCTCGAAAAGTTGCTACAAATTCCGCACATTATTTGCTCCAATTCCACCTTCATTAGACGAGAGTAATGCACAATCCAGTACAACATCATCAGCAGAGAGTGTATTCATGACAACAATCAACGCATCATCCCATTCGCAGCAACAACAGCAGCAGCTACAAAGAGCGCCTCATACCCCCTATGTCAATACAATCCCTAGATCAGAAAGCATCTTGTACAGAGATGCCATTGAAACGAGCCCCGAAGAAGAGCATGATCCGTTCATGACAACTACGTTTATCACAGAGCCTCAATTTCATCATACGTACCGTCCCAACATTGGTAGAAGAAGACGGCGTGGTAACCTCCCTAAAGAAGTTACTGAGTACTTGAAGCGTTGGCTCATTCTCCATAAAAAGCACCCATACCCCACCGAGCGAGAAAAGCAAAAACTTGCTGACGAAACTGGCTTGATGGTGAGCCAGATTAGCAACTGGTTCATCAATGCTCGCCGTCGCATCCTACAGCCTTTACTAGAGTCAGAACATCAGGATGCAATCAACAATGATGGCTCTAGTTCAGTTGCTAACAGCAATGTGCTGCCAAAGAGATCCAGAACATCATCCGCAACAGAGATGAGTACTCAAACTCTTGCTCCAGATACAGCGGATACTCCAGAACCAACCATCAGTACCTATCATCATAAGTACATCATTGGCAGCTTCGATAGCAATGACGAAGGCCGTTCGCACCGCCATTCAATTGATGATACAATGTCGCTAGATGATGATTATCGAGAGCCGAAGCAGCACCATCTTCATCCACATGAGCTTAATGGTATATGAATCTACCCGGTAAAGCAATGCTAGACTGTCTCTAACTTTATACCAACAACTATAGAGTCATCAAAGAGTCAAGTTCCACCTCCATGGGTTCTTTTACCTACCAAACTGCCGTCAATGCATATTCTGGACAAAGACGTGGATGCCTTTCGACCAGAATAATATCCCCCCTCCTCTCTCTTTTTTCGTCTTGTATCCACAATCATGTATCATAGCTCACCTCAACCTCAAAAATAACCCTTCTTTGTCTTTATCTAATGCCACCGTTCGTCACTTGTTTATTTTATGCCATCTTCCGTTTTATTATTCTCCTAGGTTTCATAAACATATGCTTTATCTATCGCTTGAATCAATGCTTGCTGTTCCGTGTTGTCTAATAAGCAGCGCATGCATATTCTAAACGTGTCATTGCGTGTTGTCCATGACTGTCTGGATGGCAGTGCATATCAAAAAGCCAGAACTTCTCCCTATTGCGATGTATAGAGTGCCATACGATGTACAAGCATTCTGTTTAGGCAGCTTAGGCAGGCTATGTTCTGCTTTCATCCAAGACAGCAGCATGGTCACCCGATGCTGTTCATTTTTACATTAACATCGTATGCACGCACTGTTCGTCCACTTGAACATGTTGAATATGAACTGGGCCTTTGAACTCTGTTGACATCGCAAAGTGTTTGTCGATGATAACGTCCCGAATGTAGATTCAAAACTGCTAACATTCAGTCTAGCATAACATCCTCTGTGGATGTGTTGAATACCCAATTGAATTGTGCTTTTATCGACTAGTCTCTTTTTCCAGGTCTTGTCGAAATACTACATGTTGAAAGAGATTGGCGTTAACGCATGCCTACCAGCTTAATTTGGCTGAAGAGACTTCAAGATGTGTATGATAAAATTTGGGTGTATGGATCCAAAGTCTAATGCTGATCATGCCCACGGTTACACTCAATGCTGGGTCAACACAAAGTGATGGCTCCCTCCATTTAAAAAGAGGTATACTGGCAGGAGGTGTAGTAAAAGTTCTATACAAAGTTAAAAGAGTTTGATAAATGTTTTCCAAATAAAAATTCTTCAAACCTTGTACTTGTTGGGGGGGGGGGGTGGCTAACGTACCAACAAAATATGATTTCCTATGGACACACTTTGGTCCTGCAGCGCTTGTTTTACCTGCCATTCTCTCTTTTTTTTTTTTGGATAACGTACCAACAACATATAATTTCCTATAGACATACTTTGGTTAACGTTCCAACAAAATATCGTTTTCTATAGACATACTTTGGCTAACGTACTAGCAAGATATTCTTAAAGCACCAACAAAATATTCTTAGCGTACCAACAAAATATCCTCTTCATTCGCCATACATTTGTTTTTCGATCCTGACATGTCAACTAAATCTAACAATGTATTTGATCTCTTGTATAAGACAAGTAGTCGATCGATCTTGCTACGCTGGATGACGGCGTTGCCCTGGGGACTCTCGCCGAAGACATTTCAATTCAGAGATATCGCATAAATTTTAGACATTCAATTAATAGTGAGGGATTATTGTCATTGCAAAAAAACACTTTTACAGGGAAAAACTCTCAACAAAAGTAAATATATATATACATATATTTGGACTAAGTAACTGTTCTTTCAAATATATGACCTCCATTGGGTCAGTATCGCAATTATCATTGTCATCATCAGAAAGGCATTCGGGTAAGCCAGCATCAGCGAAGCCTGCCAAAATTAATTAAAACTCAGTCATTTTTTTTTTTTTCAAGATTGGTTAGATTTCGTCCTTTTTCGACTTGATTGAACTCTTTTGCGAGATTCGACTATATGGATTGTGAAGATCACCCTACGCTTCCTAATACATTCTTGGAGTACTTTTCAAGACGTTTCCAATGGCACTAATTATAATATGTGCTTTGAATGAAACTATTGAGCAATTTGACAGAGCATGAAATGAGGTTTTTAGCGAAAATAGCCATATTTTGCATATGAAATCCTCATAAAAGTGGTTTTAGAAGTTGCTTTGAATTGAGAGAAACGTTTTGAATTAATATCATAACATAATAAATGTTCAGTACTTTTGCACTTTACAATCCTAATATGGAACCTGAGTTTCAAGGCATCTATCAGACCTGGCTCATATGAGAATAATGATTTTACAATCAATCAACAAAAACCACTGTAATTTCTACCCTCTTTCCTCTGCTCAGTGCTGTCAATGTTTTATTTGAGCGACGTCTCAGAGCCTCAGAGATTTCATTACTTACTGCAGACATTTTATGCAACCCATGCATTGTCAATGTCCAGACTAACGTTATTAAATATAGAATGCAATAAAATGTCATTATGAACGATATAGAAGGCAATAAAATATCATTGTAAACGATAGTGCTATGACCTTCCACCTACTTTCTATACGCTTCAAGGGCATTTACTACTGTATTGCCTTATGAAAAGGGCATGAGTTTTCCAGCTGGCCCTACCAACCAAAATTAATTCAAACCCAGAATCATAATCTGTTCTAGATTGGACAAATTTTGATGATTCTGGACTCGATCGAGCTATTTTTGCAGATTCGACTAAGTGAAGTATAATAATCACCCCATGCTTCCTTAAACTTTCCTGGAGTACTTTTCAAGGCGCTTCCAATGGTACTAAGTAAAATAGATGTTTTGAATTCACTTATTGAATGATTTGTAAAAATATGAAAAGAGATTTATGGCCAAAATGTCGAAATTTTACATATCAAAGTCCCACAAAGATAATTTCAGAGGTTGCTTTGGATTGATAGAAACATTTTGATTCAAGATATACCATAGTAAAAGTCTCCATTATCAAGATGAAAAATGCGATCGTTTGATTTTCGATGAAAACCATGAGGGATACCTCATGCTTTTTGGTCGATTTTTGACCATGTTTTTTTTGGTCCCCAAAAAGTCGAGCAAAAGTGTCAGAAAGTAACTGCCAGATGAAAGCAACCATTTGGGGCTATTCTGACGATCTAAAACGGCCTTGAACGCAAGAAAATTCAGCTCAAATGCGCTCATACTTTGCTGTATTAGGGACACTAAGGACTAAAAAGTGGGAATACCAGTATGCTGCTTGCCCGTATATGAAGTAACTACGTTTATATGGATGTAAAGCATCACATAAGAATCAGATCCACAGATAATATAAAGGGTTATTATGTGTAGGTGGAGGGTCAAAATGAAAGTAGCAGTATTTTGATAAAATACGCAAGAGCAATCAGTAGCACGAGCTGCCGCTGCGCAGGTTGGTTCTCTACCTTCGCTACGCTTCGGTGAGAACCATCCGAAGCATAAACACTCATATGATTAGTGATTATATATCAATCAACAATCAGGGTTCCTCTTCTAACATTTTAGCTATATTAATTTTGGGATATTAGCCAAAGGCCCGCGGCAGCGCGAGCCGTTTGAACGTAGGTTGGTTTCCACCGAAGCGAAGCGTAGGTCAGGAAACCACCCGAAGTGCTGAAAGGCTCGTATACCATAGTAAAAGTCTCTATTTTCAAGGTGAAAAAAGCGGTCGTTTAATTTTCGTAAAAAACCATGAGGTACACCTCATGGTTTTCAGTGGAATTTTGGCCATGTTTTTTTTGGTTTCAAAAAGTTGAGCAACGGTGTCAGGAAGTTACTACTACTCGAATACAACAATCTGGTGTCATTCCGGTGGCTCAGAAAGGTTTACATGTCAATATATGAAGGCTTGAAAGCTGTCAAAATTGGTAATGTTTTTGCTTTACAGCTTTTATTTACATAGCGTGAATCATATCTTGGTGGATGGATAGCTGAAATTCTTGAAGAGGGCAGTTCTGCACTCTGTGCAACTTCTAATTTGAATAGGAGGTGTATTGATTTTGGTAAAGCTCAAAATCATTCTCTGGACTGCACAAATTTACAACTATTCCTCAGTAATGTAAATCAATAAATTACATCACAACTCAAACTGAAAGCCTATATTGACAAATTTATACTTAATAGGAACCAAAAATTTGCATTTTTGTCATTCATCGTCTTGTATTTATATTACTTGCAATACGAGAAGTTTGCAAGTCTATCAATGTCTAGAGATAATTTGTTGGTACGTTAAGAAAAAAAGGAAATTTTTTGTTGATACGTTAGCCACCTCCTTGTTGCGGGTACTAATTTTAGGATAGTTTTGTGTCGTTTGACGTTACGAATGGCGTTCGCTAATCTCTATATCAATAGCAGAGAGAGAGAGAGAGAGAATTAAATATGTCAGCAATGTAAAAAAGCAAGCTTCGAGTGGTTTCGGTGCAAGATATCCAGTAGTGATGCAAAACGAGCAAGTCTTGACGAATGTTGCAAACAGGCTATCCGGGACTCATGTGCTAAACATGCAGTTTATCGTTCTTATAAAACGTACTATGAGTTACGTCGCACGTAACAAATCTACGAATAATCCAGACAGAAGCTCAGGTTTTTACAGACAGCTTCAATTATCAAGACCCTCGACTGTTGTGTTCTTCCGCCTTGATGAACTGTGTACATGAATGGAAAATGGGTAATTAAGCAAAAGAAAGAAGAGAAAGTGATTACAGAGAGATAGAAAAGTCAATATGATATTATTATACCCGGATCTCAAGGTGATCATAGACCTGATTGATCTCGGGATCGCATTCTGTCTGGAATCGCAAAAAGAGATGGCATTTCATGTATGTATAGACATTACACATGGTTTTCACAAAGATTTATTAGATATCTTTTGCCCAATCTCAAACATAGATATTTCTGTTCATACAATGTAGCACATGTGAGCAGATTGATAAATAGACACATATATTTGATGATTGGACATGTTCTACCAATGTAGATTTGCCAAAAAAAAAGGGTACCTAACTGAAATCTGGAGATCTGAAACATATGATAATGTTTCAACTTTAGCAAAGTCAACATCTTGTATATACAAATATATTAATATTTTAAGTGTATATACAAGATACAACATAGGCAAGGTATACATTCTTATTTCAACGCGAACAGCTGACTCTTTGTTCTTAACCTCGCAATTGAAACCAGTTTTCAATTTACTCTGATACATAGCCAACGCGAAGAAACCATTTGAATAGTTCCAACTTTTGCAGCTTTTGCAAGATTCGCTAAAAATCTTCATTTTAGTTCAAGCGTCTATCCGGAAAAAAGATGTAAAATTGACAAATATACAGAATTCAATCTTCAATGCAATATTTATTTGTTAATATCAAACAACAATCTTGCTGCCATGATATCCACCCATCTTTATCATCTTCTTCATGACACTTCCCATATTTTTTGTGCTAGATCTCTCAACGGTAGTGTTTGCTTCCTTTGTCTCGGGCTGCTCCTCCTCCAGAACAGCTATGGTTGTGTTCTCACTGATCATGCTCTCTTCTAGCAAATCATGTCTGGACCTATATTTCTTGATATTCAGTTTGATGTGGGAGAGCGAATGATTGAGTTTCTTTAAAGGGTTAGATCTGTCACAAAGGGTACCAGCACTGCCGTCGTGTGACCCATTCAAGTTTGTATACAAATGATACTGTGGATGGAATTCAATGAAGGCATCTTGTATCTGTCTTTCCGCCCAGTAGATCTTAGACTTGTTGAATAGATAGGAGGTTGCAAATGGATCCGACGACATGGATTTATAATGTGTCGATGGTGGCTTGGATGCTTCCCTCAGAATACGATAGAGGATCGGCGAGGCGTTCATGTCTTTATGGCATTTGATCATGTCTGAGGATGTAAAGATTGAAATCCAGGGCTTTTCAGGCGGGTCAGGGGCAAATTCATAGTTGCCGTCCAGCATGGCTCTGATCCCAACCGTATTGTCAAGCCAGTCAAAGCTAGCCCACTTGGTTTTGATTACCACTCGATCATAAAATCTTGCCCTAGCTTCTGTACCTTGGGATTTGCAAATGGGTTGATATTCTGTATAGAAGCTGTGGCAGGACGATGAGGACGATGAAGATGGCGAATGCTGGAATCCAGAGTCAATGCGGCGTAACGAGGATTTTTGCTGTAATTGCTCTCGACGTTGCTTGAGCACTTTGGCATGCTCTATGATCATGCGTGTCAGGAAATGGCCAGCCTTTTCAGTTATGATTTGGTCACAGTCTGCTGGCCCCAACACAACTTTGCCTAATGCATCCCCCAATTTATATGCATCCATTAGATTCACGCTTTTATACTGCATCAATTCTACCAAAAAGTCTAAAATGTCGATCAGCAGCTGTTCTGCCTTGCTCGTGATGACTGGTGATAGTTTTGATAACGTGCAAGCTATTGGAAGCATTAGCTTCAAGAAGAGCTAATTAATTTTAGCAGTGGCACTTACTTTCATAGTTGATTGACCTCCATGCTTTCTTGGATATAATGCGTTCATGGCTGCTCCAAAGTGCATCTTGCATCAATGTTGCAACAGAATGAATATCCACATAGGACAGATCTTCACTGGTGCAAATTTGTTTGTTGAATACTTTAATGAATAAACCGTTATTTGGCACTATCATTGATGTTAGCTTTTTCATGCAGCAGCAGCAGCAGCGGTTCCAATGACATAGCACATACTGGTTTTGCGAAAGATCTTTCGCTCCTGTAGGCCTCTTTTTCGAATCTCATCTATACAAAGGCGCGTAATATTTGCAGCGAAATCAAAAGAGTAATACATGCTGTTGTCTATGGTATTGGAAAAGAGAAAAGAGGGAAGAGAGAAGAAGATATCAAACAATCGTTCAAGGCATTTTATTCCATGTATCCAACATGTTCACCCCTTGATTTTGCTACACATCTAAATTTATACGCAAAGGAGTTGCTGTTCTCTTTTGAGCCTTTCACACACATAATCTGTACATATGTGTACTATATGGCACCCCAGATTGGATAATGATACAACTTGCATTGTATACAAGACAACCCTCCTTTCTTTCCAGTCAGTGAGCTCCAGTTTGAAAGGCATCGCTATGTATTTATAAACACGGACCATGCTTGATTTCTATAAACATTATATTAATTCCAGTGAGCACTGTTCTTTTATTGTCGATGCTTGCAAGTGCAGGCATACGCCTTCTCTTTAGAGAAACTGAAAAAGAAATTTCATGTCGCTATATGTCATGCGGTGGCTTCCTTGCATTGATGTATGTATAAAAGCCAAGGGGAAAGAGGAAGAAAAAGAGAGAGAGAGAGAGTTATACATGTAGCACTACTTTCATGCGGACATGCCATGTATCTATCAACATTATCATCGTCGTCGCTACCTACAGCTATACATGAAATAATTTTAATTTCAAATGACTCCAAGAGTTCTTGGAGCGTGTTTAAGGACGCAATCAAGGTATCTGCCATTGTGTAAATGTCATGTAATAGTGGGATTGATTAAATTTGGAGGCCTTTCTTCATCAAATGCGTGTATGTGTAATATAAGTCCTCCTTAAAAGTACGGCTTTCTTATTGAGGATCCAAGGAGGTTAGCAATTACCGTGTTATTTTGGTTATAGTTTGCAATAAGCAAGGAGTTTCATCTTAAAATTGATCCTTTGCCCTCTCATTTTCAGTGATTCGCCATTTAATTGTATGAAAATGAGGGACAAACAAGGCTTGAAACATGTAAATGGAAGGCAAATTGCAACATGTTCTATCGCATGCGGTTTTTTTTTATGGCTTCAATAGACAGACTAGATAGTTGCCTACTCACCTTTGAGATACCTGCTACTGATATTATCAACACGACGAAAGACTATCTTTGGCAAGATTATATGTTTACTACGTGCTATTTGACAACAGTTTTTATCAGCTTTATCTCGATAACCTCCATACATTGTATCGTGCGAAATGTCATGTCTAGACCGCACGCAAGAACTGTAGCCTCATTCACTATATTCTTCTATCATTTTGCTTATTTCAGCTTGGAGGCGGCTTGAGAAGCAAACTCAACAACATCAAACGGTGTGGATCGTGAATCATTGTTAAAATGTATCGTTTAGTCAGAGTTCTAGTAGTGAGTAGAATTTTTCCAGTACAAATGTGCATGAAAGCTTGGATAAAGCACATCAAATGTAAAGATGGCTATGCGCAAACTGGAAACTACATTCAAAGTGCCCATCGCCAGTAGCCAACAGTGTCATTGTGTCTAGATTTGACTAGACTAAAGGCCTCAAATGTCTTTGGTATGAATACAAAAAACTCTCCGCAGAAGACATTGAAGGCATTCTAGAGATACTCGCGAACACCTTGCTTTTGTAGATATTGATTTGACACACAATTCCATTGCTGTAACAACGCCATGGTAGACACTTGACAAGACTGACGCTGCGTCATGGGCGCCTCTTTAATGAGATGTTCAAGTTAAAGAAGACTACTTTTTCATCGTGTTACCCTCCTTCTTTTTGTATTTCAACCTACAGACCTCGCTCGTTTGATACTTAACGATATGTCAGGTATGTGATATCCAGCATCAGTTTGCTACGACCCGAGAATGTATAAATCAAGCCTCTCTAGCTTATTTAATGATCTCTTGACCGCGTTCAATATCTAAAGAATCAGTTAAATTGAAAAAAGTGAAAGCTTGCATTTATTCATCCTCGAGCAAACTGATCATTTGCTTTGACCAGAAACTAACATGCTATGTCTCCTCTCATTAGATCCTGTCGATACTATTACTTTGAAGCTCGGTGATCTCGTCACTCAACGTAAGCTTTGCTCAATATGTCCATCTCGTTTTGGATGTGTTCACTAAACGAAAATTTTTTCGCCATTACTTTAGCTGCTGCTGCTGCCACCACTCCTCCAGCTGCCACTGGCACACCAGGTAAATACATATAGTGGCAATGACAATAGTATGCTGCGATACTAAGACCTGATTGAATTCACAGAGAAAAGTGCTACCCCAGGTTAGAACTGCACATACACATAATGACTCACAATGAAAAAGACGTTAATACAACATACTTTCAACAGAGGAAGATGATTCCAACTTGATCCAAAGTACGCATGTCGTCCAAGTCAAGCTTGCTGATCAACAAGCTGACCCCAACTCGCCCTTATATTCCGTCAAGTCTTTCGAGCAATTGGGTCTTAGCCCTGAATTACTCAAGGGCTTGTATGCCATGAAGTTCTCCAAGCCCTCCAAGATTCAAGAGCGTGCTCTTCCATTGCTGATTGGTAACCCGTAAGTGTTTTGTTGATAAATCACCGTTACATGATCCTGGTCATTGACTGTCATGCATAGCCCAAGAAACATGATCGGTCAATCTCAAAGTGGTACTGGTAAGACTGCCGCTTTTGTCCTTACTATGCTTACCCGAATCAACCTTGGTGTCAATGTGCCTCAAGTAAGTTTTCCTGGGAAACCTGGGCAAACAGTGTACTCACATGTGTGGTTAGGCTATCTGTCTTGCTCCTTCTCGTGAGCTTGCCCGTCAAATCATGGATGTTGTGGAAGCCATGAGCAAATACACCAATATCACCACCAAGTTGGTCGTCAAAGATTCACTCAGGAGAAACGAGCATGTTCAATCCCAAGTTATCGTCGGTACGCCCGGTAGTGTCGCAGATGTGATTAGAAGAAGACTTTTGCCTGTCCAAGCAGTCAAGATATTTGTACTCGACGAGGCTGATAACATGTTGGATCAAGATGGTTTGGGCGATCAAAGTATCCGCATCAAAAACAATCTGAAGAACAGCAACCCTCAAATCGTTTTATTTTCAGCTACATTCCCTGAACACGTCCGCGAATTCGCCACCAAATTTGCACCCAATGCAAACGAAATTTCGTTGAAACGTGAAGATTTGAGTGTCGATGCCATCAAACAGCTTTACATGGATTGTGACAGCGAGGAGCACAAATACGAAACACTCTGCAACATTTACGACTTGTTAACCGTCAGCCAAAGTATCATTTTCTGTAAGAGACGTGAATCCGCTGATGAAATCGCCAGACGTATGAAGGCACAAGGACATTCAGTTATCTCGCTTCACGGTAAGATGACACCCGAAGAGCGTGATAAAGTTATGGATGATTTCCGTAGAGGTGAATTTAAGGTCTTGATCACCACCAATGTTCTCGCTCGTGGTATCGATATTTCACAAGTATCTTTGGTCATCAACTATGATCTTCCCATTGACCAACGTGGCCAAGTTGACTTTGAAGCATATCTCCACAGAATTGGTCGTACTGGCCGTTTTGGTCGCACTGGTGTCAGTATCATTCTCATCGACAGCAAAAGAGCTTGGGAGCAAATGAGAGAAATTGAAGACCACTTTGGTAGAGAAATCGTCAATGTGCCTACTGCAGACTGGGAGCAGGTTGAAAAGCAACTGAAAGAACTTATTTAGAGCTTTCAATATTATCAACTAAACCACTCTTATATATAAAAAATAAACACTTGCCTATAGCTTAAAGATGAAACTAATTTGATATCAATTTGATCCGCTGATTTGAATGTTGAATTCACATGTAATGCTGTGAGTAAAATAAAAGGCCATACTAAGATTCATTTTTGTTTTTGTAGCTTCTCTTCTTCCTCGCTCTCTTTCTCGAATACTCAACATGTCATTTCGCTTTATCTCTAGCAAATCTACCTTTTGTAATTTCAGAGTATGTAGTTAAGATCTAATCAGATGTGATATCAATGTGACTGGCGGCACTGAACGTATTAAACATGGCCATGTTATATAAGGAATATTACTCACCTCTTTCTCTCTCTCTTTTCTATATTGCATCATACAGAACTTTACAATGCCAAATTCGAGCAGGATCAAGCTTATTACATTTGACGCTTACAACACTCTATTTAAGCCAAAAGGAAGTCTTTCAGCGCAATATGTAAGTTGACACATCTCGAGATTTGGCTATTTCATGCTCTTACATGTCACTTGTCTTTAGGTAGAGGAGGCAAAGAAGTTTGGTATTCGAGTGACCCGAGAGCAAATTAATCAGCATTTCGGTCAAGCATACAAAAAACAACTCATAAAAGCCCCCTTCTATGGCATTAGTAAAGGGATGACACCTCAGGGTTGGTGGAAAGAGGTAAGCTATAGGGAAACAGGAATGTTTGTGTCACAAATAAACTCTTATTGTCTAGTTGGTTTATTCGACATTTATAAGTGCTGGTATAAAAGAAAAAGGTATAACTCTGATAGCAGAAATATACCGGGCGAAATTGAAATCAATTATTTGAACTATAGATTTGGACTGTAACTTTGATCAGTTGTACAATGCATTATACACAAGATTCACAACTGCCGAAGCGTATTCGGTATTCCCAGATGTTCTTAGCACATTAAACGAACTAAAGCAGCATGGATTTCAGATGGGCGTCATAAGCAATTCAGATGAAAGAGTCGGTAAAGTACAGAATAGCGTTTATATAGACATATTTCTCATTATTTGTTGCATATCAAATAAGTCCAGGTAATTGAAAATTTGAACCTCGACAAATACTTTGATTTTGTCATTGCAAGCTCGTTGGTTGAATGCGAGAAGCCAAGCAAAAGAATATACGAAAAAGCACTTGAGGTTGCAGGAAATGTGAGTGCCGAGCATGCTCTGCATGTAGGCGATGATGTAGACAAGTAAGTTGCTTACAAGTGACGATTTGGGTAAGTAATAACAATATGTTGTAGGGATTACTTAGGTATGATATAAGCAGTAAGACAAATACCGATAGTTATTAATTGATTTGTACATGTTCAGGTGCAACAAAGGCAGGGTGGAATGCAGTCTTGTTGGAAAGAACCAAGTTATCCTATGAGGATTTTTCGCCAGCAATGATAGCCGATAGTAGCATACCAAGTCATCGACCCAAGCAGATTTTAACAATGAATGATCTTTACCCTTACATCAACACTTTGCATGGTGTAGATCAAACTCAAAACTCTGCTACTGCCACAGATTTTAGCCGAACACCGGCTGCGCATGCGGCCTCTCATTGAGCCCCATTACTGTTTAATGAATAAATTGTATGTGTAGTTTATTGAACTTGAGTTTGCGGCTATGTTGATTACTCGATGAAAGGCTGTATGACAACCCTCTCTGAAACGCCATAAGCATTTGTGCATTCAGCCCAGTGATCGTCTTCGTTGCCATAAAATGTCAATGCCCCACCACTAACGCATCTGACCACGTGGGATCTACTGTTAAATCGTGGCCACTGGAAATAAAGCTATAAAAATACATTAGCTTCATTATACTATGTTTGATTGCAGCAAAATTCTTACAGTGAACTGGACATAATCGTCATTGACAGGACGTGGGTTGCAATCAAATGTGGTATAAGGGCAACATTCCTTTGTTTCTGGACTCATGTGTTTCTTGAAAACTCTATATACAAACCGGTAAGTCTATCCGAATGTACGTTGGCTATACTGAAGCACTCACTTGGTATACAATGTACGGTGATTACGCTGTATTATATCAAAGGTTGAGCCATCAGTGAATTGGTTGTAGATACAATACGATTGCGTTTTTTGGAAAAGAGTCAAGATGAGAAATACAAGTGCGAGTTTTGGATACATGATGAATTATGTCAGTGATATTGACTGATGCTGTTATCAGCTTGATCCAATATATAGACATGCTGCTTTTGTTCGCTTCTTTTGGCATAATTACATTTATATCGGCTGAATATACATATTCTTTATTCCAAATTATTGCCATCCTATGTCTCTTGATGCAGTCTATAATCATTTATTTCATTGTGTTAAAATAGAGAAACTTAGTATAGCACCCCTCTACTGAGCAATAGAGGTTATCAGGTGGTCACCCACTAAAATCAGGAATTATGTCAACACAAGTACACATAGGTTGACATTTGCATTTAATTCATTATCAGAAAATACAGTTTACAAAGAGATACTATATAATCCATCATCTTCTAAAAAAGAAGCTTAAAAACGTTTTGCCAAATAACCCCTTTTATCCCTACCTTTCAATATGGCAAATCAAACTAGTTCCGGACGAAGAGTTTAAAGACTTCGATCTGACGACGTTTGTTTGAAACAATCGATTACTACCGAAATCATATCAGAGGTATCCACTCTGATGTTTCACCAAACCAAAGACACAAAGCACTGCAGAATGGCGCATATGTCTTGTAATATTTTGTAGCAATTCCATGACCAAACACTTCTGTCGCTAATAAGAATGGCCTACTAAGCAATCACTGGGAAATTATTCACGCATGGTGTCATTTCTACGTTATCAATGTTTATTTGATTGCATTTCCCTATTTGATTCGGTAATTAACGCTAGTATATTGGCTGTGGTAGCTACTGCTAGTGCAATAATAAAGTAAATTGATGTTATCAAAAGTTGACTCTGCAGGCAACTCTTTTACAGACGAAATACCAAGGTATTTTTTTGTTTTTCAACAAAGCTCCTCATGTTATTACTTCAATAGATCAAGCTCTGGTTTTACAATTAAACAACCTTAACATTATTTGGCATTCGCATCATCAGCTGCCGGCTGATCCATTTGGATTCTTCTGGTTAAATCATCATCAACACATCATTGCTTGATTTAACGCTTTAATATTGCAGTGAAATCGGGTTTGAGGGATTTCACAAAAAATAATAATAAAATGCAATAGAAATCAAATATATTTTATTTGTGTATGAAAAGAACTGAAGATCCGGGAATTAAGCAAAAAAAGAAGAGGATCTATACATTGTATCTAGCTTGCAGGGTTAGTGATGATAGAAAGCAATAGGTGCTGTTATTGCGATATCTAGTGAATGTTGCTGATGCTTGATTTAAAGTAGTAATCAATGCAAGAGCACTGACCATAAGGGTTGGTTCCAGTAACTTTGATGAGCTTGGATGGACTATTGTCATAGCATAATTTAATGTAACCTTTACAGTTTAAGATGTGATGTCTGTTATTGAAGTGTAGAACCCTTTATCTGGAGTATTATGCAGCTATGGCATCAGGGCATAGCTGTCATATTTGAGTACGTTTGTTGTCGATTTGCTTTCATTTGGATAAAGATAACATCATCGCTTATTACGACCGCCATGAATGTGATTGAATGCACCGTAATTAAGAGTGATTGAGCGCTTTTATTAATACATCCAAATAACATGAATTTGAATGAGAACTATTCGATGAATTTAGGTTTTCAATCAAGTTGAGTTTGGGTGGCTGTTACATTGCAGGTACATCGCATGTTTGGCGGGACATTTGGTACTGGGAGAACCCTGTACCTAATGTACCGTACTACTGTAGTACCACCTATTGTATAATATTCCCTGGAAAATACCGGCACATTTTAAAAAACATTGCTCACATAAAATTATTTACTGGATAATGAACTCAATGATTGCATCTTATATTACTCTTGAATAAAGAAGGACTTAAATTGTTTCCATTTAATTACGCTTTTATTATTACAAACGACAAAATCATGATAAATAACAGATCAACAGAAAATCAACCCGTTGTAAACCGTTCCTCTTTCAATCCCTCAGCCAATCAAATTGCTTGAAAACTCCGCTGACCTAAAAAAAAAATTGCGAGGGTTTCCCTCTGTTTTGATGTGAGGCAAAATTTTAAGCTCCGCTATATATATAGCAATATAGCTGTAACTATCATCAAATTTCCCTCAGGTGCTAGAGCATGCCTTACTTACACCACCTAGCTTTATATCCTGGCGTTGAGCCTCTCAATCATCACTAAAGTAAGTAGCAATAACCAAGTGGAGGCAGCCTATCTGCGTCCTAGTCTCGGATAAAGTCTTGTTGAGCTTCAGCGATAGGCACATCCACCACAACGTAAAAAAAAAGGTATGCTTCAAAGAAACATAATAATAATAAAAGATAGAAGAAAAGAACATACTACTATACTCGTATAGTAGTATGTAGGCAGAAAAGAGACACTCACACGAAGCGAGTCAAAGAAAAGCATAACAAACACAACATCAAAGATGTTTAAAAAAGCTCGTTGCTGTTGCAAGAAAAATGCATACATGAGCAACGCGCATGGTAGTAGTAATAGTCGTATGTAAAGCAATATGACACAAATACGCACAACTGCAAAAGCAAGAGTGGTATTATAAGTTTGCGATACAACATAATGACTAATATTGTTTCATGTAAAGTTACAGAGGAAACACTACCAACAAACGAAAAAGAAGAAGAAAAAAGCGCAACAAGGCAAACATCATGAATGCATTATCACGAGAAAGGAAGCAATAATATAAGCGTTCAAAGAAGTTTTATATCATTGCGGCCAGAAGAAAAAAGATACTTACCACTTACCACAGCCACAGATAAACCAGAAGAGTATAGGCAATCACCGGAGGCAGACCAGAGAACGAGCATGCACCAAGTACAGTAGACCAGAAAAGATCAGATTAGCAGCAGCAGCAGCAACACCAGCAATACCAGCACCATAGAAAAAGTATAGAATGAACGCCATCAGCAGAGAACAGACACAGACCAAAGAAGTTACTTACCACTTGTCACCACCAGAGATAGACCAAATATTAAGTAATCACCGGATATGAACCAGAGAGCGAGCATGCAACAAATACAGTAGACCAGAAAAGACCAGATTAGCAGCAGCAACAGCAGCAGCAGCAGCAATACCAGCACCATAGAAAAAGTATAGAATGAACGCCATCAGCAGAGAACAGACACAGACCAAAAAATGTTACTTACCGCTTATCACCACCAGAAATAGACCAGAAGAGTATAGGTAGTCACCAGAGGTAGACCAGAGAACAAGAATACAACAAATACAGTAAACCGGGAAAGACCAGTAGATTAGCAGCAGCAACACCGGCACCATAGAAAACCGAAGAGTGAACAACACCAGAGACCAGACAAAGGCCAAAGAAGCAACCACCAGACATAATAAACCAAAGTAGTAGACAGCAGAGGTAGCAGAGAAGTAATGGCAGCAACACCCGCATCAAACAGTCAAAAAGAGTCATCAAAACCTAATAAAAAATTCAATTAGTGTTAATCCTACGCCTTCCAATGCTCGTTATCGAATGGTACATAGCATATTCTACTTGAAAGAAGCAGTATCAAGTTCTTCCAACAGTACAAGACAGAGCTATCGGAAGCTAGAGTGTTATTATCAATCAAACAGTTTCCAAAACCACCATGGTTTGATATCAAAACGCGTTTTGCAAAAAGGGTAAAAAATGGGGGCATGGAAAAATGAGAGGGCACCCTATCCGACGTCACGACCAGTAGATTTAGTCTCAGTCTTGTACCGTAGCAGCCTTAATTGCGGCAATTTAATTTGAAATTGTGCAGTGGGTATTTCCGTGTTTAAACTTGACTTGATCTCTCGTCCTTTAAACGTTTTTGCTAAATTTGACTATAAAAACTATCGTTGTCACACCCAACTTTCTAATACATTTCTAGAGGACTAAAGAATCCGTATTGAATGGTGCTAATTACATTCAGCTTTCAGACCGAAAATAATGAGCAATTTACAAAAATATGAAAACATGTTTTTTGCCAAAATGTCGAAATTTCACATACAAAAATCTCATAGAAGGAGCTTCCAGTGCTGCATTCCGTCTTTACAATCAATTTGATCTTATACGCATCATAGTAAAAGTTTTCATTTTTGGGGCGAAAAACGCGATCGTTTGATTTTCAAGAATTTTCCCTTGCTAATACTCATGGAAAAACGATGATTTTCATAGATTTGCAATAACCCAGAAAAAAAATTTGAGATAAAGCATCAGGAAGTAAAGCGTGGCCAAGAGGAAGCGTGTGGTGCTATTCCAAGCGCTCAAAACGCTTTGTGGCATGAGTTATTCATGCTTGAAAATGGGTAGATTTGGACAGAATTCGACCTAAAACGACGGCGTAATGGGCTGCGTTGCCAGAAGAGTAAGTAAATCACACTTTTGTCTGATGACCCAAATGCTCTGTATTGTACAAAGCTCAAGTCTTAAGTGATGGAAGCTGTTA